CCGGAGAACGCGTGGGACTAGACATTATCGGCCCCCTCCCTATATCCGTACGCGGGTATGAATACATACTAGTGATGATAGACTATTTCACGAAATGGGTCGAAGCGGTGCCACTACTCCGCCAAGACGCCACATCCGTCGCCAACGCCGTCAACAGATCCTGGATTTGCCGCTGGGGCACCCCCCTAGCCTTCCACACCGACTGTGGGAGCAATTTCGACTCTCGACTCTTCCAGGACGTTTGCCGCACGCTGGACGTCAACAAAACCCGCACTACTCCCTATCACCCCGAAGGCAACGGCCTCGTCGAACGAACTAACCGCACCCTTCACAACCTCCTTCTCGCCTTTTGTAAAGACAATCACGAACATGACTGGGACACACAACTACCCTTCTGCCTGATGGCATACCGGAGCTCAATCCACTCCTCCACCGGTTTCACACCTCATTACCTATGGACTGGGCGCGACCTACGTCTTCCAGTAGACCTTCAACACACCTTAGACGTACCCGACCCCACCCCCGTTACCACATACGCCTCCCAACTCCGCGAAACAATTCGGACCGCCTATAACGCAGCACGCGAGACGCTCGGTGCATCATCAAACCTCCAGAAAACACAGTGCGACCGTCGTTCGCCCGGAACCACACATCAAATCGGCGACTTGGTTATGCACCACAACCCGATACCTCCGCGAGGAGTGTCAGCCAAATTTCACTACCCGTGGCAAGGCCCCTTTGTCATCCTAGATGCACCGTCCCCCACGACCTACCTCTTGCGCGATGCTTCCCAACCCCACGCACCACCCTTCACAACAAACTTCAACAAACTCAAACCCTACCGCGGTCGTTTACCCACCTGCACACCCGACTCCCTACCCATTATCCCATATGACCAGGTCCCCCCAGCTGCAGTCGAAGTCACTATACCCTCCCCCATCATACCCAACAGCAATGAGGACAGTGCTGCATCTTCAGAGGGGGGCTATGTAAGACCTCAACAGAACTGATGGACAAAAACTCTTGTGTTTTAATCACGACCACTCTTTTGTAGGTCGATCGTGAGGACTGATCTCCTGTGAACGATCGTCAACGGCCGCACCCCGATAAGTTCCATCGTGAACACTTTTCGCTGATCTGTTTTATTGTACAGTTACGCTTACACTGCTTGCTGAATTGTTTTCCAGCCGAGTTTTCCTCGGCGTATTCCACGTGTATCCCTACACTCCCCCGAGTTCTTAACGTTGTCGCTCATGAACGTTTTTCCGTTGTTTGTTATAGTTCAACCTTTTTCTGCACGTTTACATAATAAGCTTTCGTTATATTCTTCCTCTCGTTCCCAATAAACCGTTGTATTTTTCCAATCGTCGTTTAACACTCTCACCGATTTGCGTGACTGTATGTGAGTGCTTGTGTGATGGATATCTTAGGCTCGAATACCTCCGACTCCGAATCCCTGACTAAGAAGAGGAAGCTACACTCGGAATCTAGTGATCTACCAGCCGTACCTTCCCCGAGCTCGCGGGACATTACAAGGGTACCCTCACTAACACAGAACGGTATCCGCGGGGGTATTGTTGTTCTAGTTTTCAGCTTAATTTCTTAATTCAGTTTTAGTACTCATGTCATGCGGTCAGAGATAAAGGGACTTAATCTGGAGTTTTTGATTGCATTTTTACTTTCAGACTTTGAAGAAAACTAGGATTTTCTCGGACTCCCATAAAGGGAACTTGGAATAAAAATTCAGCATATGAACCTTTAAACATGAACCACTTAGGGATAGGAGTGTAGTTTGTGTACTGTGACATTCGGCCCCCGGATGAAGCGTGCACCAGTGGTTGTTGAATATGAAACTCCCGGAAACGCCGGGAAGATATGGTCAAACTTTCAGGTGATACTCTAAAGAGAATTTATTTCTCTAGAAAGTATCAAAATTTTCAGTGACCAAGCGAATTTACTGCGTTTCTGTGACAGCCAGCGCCCCCCATAAGTACGCCATCCCGTGCGGACGTGCAGTAGGTTACATACCACTCTATATTTTTCTTGATAAATATTTACCGGACTTCGAGTGATATAAGATGCAGGCGCGTTAGTGGATTTTCGAAGCCAGTGATATGTTGCAATTTTCGACCGGATGCGAAAATGATAATAGGCGGTGAGGAAGGGGGATCCTTCAGGATTTGCACGACAGATCGGAACACTTTCCAGTTGCGAAAAGTGAGGGGACACAACGGGTAAGCTTTGAATAACTTGCTTAGTAGTTCCAGCAATGTAGTGGGCGTGGATTTTTCGGCGGATGGACTTAAGGCCGTCAGCCTTGGTTCTGACGGCTTTGTGAAGATTTGGGATATATCCGTCAGTGAACTCCAGACGAAGTATCACATCAGCGAGAGTTGTGAACCTTCAAGTGGACTGGCCGTGAGTCGCACAGATAATAACCTTGTTTGTGTTGGGAACTTCGAGGGGACGGTAAAGCTATTTGACACTCGTCAGGTTTGCCTTTCTATTCTGTTAATTTGCCGTACTAGCCAGACCCCGTCGGTCACTTTACGCTTCCTTCTCCAGTGTCTGCACTTCACCTTACAGCGAATGACGCATTTTTGACAGCTGCAGCTGGCCAGTGCATCTATGCCTGGAGTATTGCCGCCGGGAAACCTTTTTCCCCATCTATGGCTGCCGATGCAGGCGGCTTTCCTGGCCTTTACACCCATTATAAACTCATAACTAGCCTGACGTCTTGTTTCTGCCCGGCTATACAGTCCGGTGAGCTACTGCTTTCTGCTGGCATGGACAAGCTGCTAAAAATAACATCACTCGACACCTTTGAAGAACTTCATCAGGAGCGTCTGGCTGCTCCCATAACCGGACTCGGCGTCTTGGTATGTACAATGAAACATTGCACCCTAAAAGTTTGCTTTCTTTTGCCTTAGAATGTGCCCATAATCTTGTGATCCACAATACCGCTCTTAGTAATGTACTTGACATAAGTTAATTAATGCCTAATGTACTCGTCTTCTGCCATGTTCCATTTCTCATTCCGCCTCAAACATCGCTAATTTTTTTCACAGTCCGTGTTCATCTTCAGGACGTTTTTGTTTAACCCCGGTAAGAATTCATACCATACCCCTGGACAATTAGTAGTCACAGCATGTCCACCGATTCAGAGACTCTTGTTTGTCTACTGGAATTCGCTTTTGCTAGTTGCCTGCAGGCCTAAGTGCATTTCGTGGAGGTGGGCATATGATGTCTTTACCAGGTTCTGAATATAGAAACAAGTGGGATATTTGTGTATGTTTCGGTGTCTGATGACCTCGTTGTGGTTCGCTTACCCGTGCTCGAAGTTCGTCTCCAAGGTAATTTGAAAGTACACGCCTTTTCCTCCTTCCGTGCGCGGTCCTCAAAACTGTAGCCTTATGAACTACGGCGGTTAGTTTTGTTGGGACTTTCATGTCCAGCTATACCGAAAGGTCCGTTCAGGAGTTATTCATGAACTAGCATATCGGGATTTTGTGTTTCATGTAGGCGAATAGTTTTTGGGAAGGTTAGCAGAAGATGGAGTTGTAGCTCGTTATTTGGAATCACTCGTGTGCTGTTCCAAAATTAGGAGCGGCGGAAAATTTTCCTTTGGATTTCGACTAGTACTTAGGTTCTACAAAGTAGCGAGTGGAAACAAAGGCATTGAGCACTGGCCGAAATGTATGATGTGCTGATGATTGATGGGAGAATTTTCAGCCAAAATAAGTTCCTTTATAGAGTTTGGACCTCATCGGAGATAAACGCTCATTCCGTCTTAGAATTTCAAGGCCGCCCACAAAGTCCCTTTGTCTTAATGTTCCCATACTTTGCAAAGTGATCTCGTTCCTTATCTCTAATCTAGATATTTTACCGGAGACAATTGAAGTTAGCAAATGCCCATTTATAGTGTCACCTCTGGACTGACTATTGCTATGAGGCCGCTTCCGATCTCACCAGCACGTAGCTGCGAGGAAAAACTACGTATTCCGTTGTGCAGCTAAGTTGGACCGACAAATGTCCGTTTGATAACTAGGCAATTCAGCGCAAGAGATTTGACAAGCTTCTGGCAACATACGCAAGGGCTTCCCACTTCGTCGTGACTTACGACCATCATGATAGGCACATCTTAATTCCTGAAAACGACTGACAGTTCACACATTAGAACAACTCCAGCAACATCCTATAGCTCTTCGTGGAATGTATTTTACTGCAGATCGTCAGCGTTGCGTTAACCACAGCTCCAGGAATGTACACAAGCCAATTCCCAGATAAATCGTTCCAAAAACTTAAGTAAAGTCTTGAACCGGTCACTCAGTAGTCAAGCCTGTATATAAGAAGCGCTTATCTGCGCTGGGAACACTGACACCACGAACTATGACAAGATCGTCATATTACTGGGGGCGGTTCCTATAAGCAGTTTTTTGCGCCAGTGGTCTCGTTGTTCGGCCCGTCGTTGCATGTTTACTGGTCTTTACCTTCCTGTGTGTAAGAATCAATCCATTTTCCAATGGATTCAACTCCTATCTTTACGATTGGCTGATGAATGGTCGAATATGCTAGTCCCTTCGGACCCCTAAACACTAACCGGATACGCACTTAAGCGATTTTATAGTCATACGAATATGAGTATGGTGGTTTGCATCCACGGATCTTCAACTCTTTCTTTGAACTATCCAAGCTCGCGAGTCAGCGCTATCGAAATGAGCATTTTCATCGTAGGCTCTTCATGATACCATCTCCAGACCTTGGTAGTTGATACGGCGGACTCCCCGTGCCGTAATAGCTTTTCTGATCCTGATCACAGGAAGCCAGCTTGCCCGTTTATTTCTCAGAACCTCTGCGCTGTTAGGCAGTGTCAAGTCTCTCCAGGATCTCTGTGAAATTATTTCCATACATTATCTTAATTTCTGCATAATATACATCAGAGGTAAAAGGGGCTAAATGATATTCTGAGGGTATAGCCGAACATAGCGCTCATGGTCCTGAGCTCAAATCCAGATTAACTGTCGTTAAAATAGAGTGAAGAACGCCATTTCCGCACGGGCCACAGGGTTTCAAGTTACAGATTTTCTACTGTCAGGGTCAGTAGACGCCGTTAGTGGTTCTTTAAAAAAACTGTAGCTACAAGAACTGTTTCGGTTACTGTGGTTTTGCCCTGCATATTTACTACTTCTTGTCCAGCCCACTCCTTATTGCAAATTAGGTCACGTGCAGTTTAATTCGTAACTTACCGGCATTTCTCTGCATGGGATTCTGTAACTATTGTTCAACTTATTTTCCAAAATGGAACAGAGTTTCTTCTGCTTTACCGAGAATCCTCGTGATGTCCGGAGAATTACCACATAATTCCTTCCTCAGAGCTTTGCCATTTCACTGAATTTTTCAATTTAGCCTTCGCTGGAAAGTGTAATCGTCGGATGCGAAAACGGTCTGGTGCGGACTTTTCGCCTCATGCAGCCGGCCTCGTTACAGGAACACAGGACAGCAACAGATAATGCGGAGGTGAACGACTTTGAATGCCTTGATCCCACCCTCAGCTCCATGGCTTCCCAATTCTCGGGCCACTGGCGCGTGGACAAAACTTCGGGAAAATACATGAAGGCCGAGTCTTGGTTCGCCGAACCTGCCAGGGCCTCCCGTATTGGTCCGAAGGACTGGGGTTTTGATGGAAAGATGGCACCCCTTATCCACCCGGTAAGTTTTTAACGATATATTTTCCGCACCTACATCGCATGCTTCGGATTTTCGAACCTTCTGACCAGAGTTTAGTTCTGATCTCAATGCTTCATTGTTTTTTTTCGTTACTTCATTGCCGCACTTAAATTTTTTGATAGCCTAAGGCACTGAGGGACACTAGAATGGCCATTTATGACTTATTTGCCGTTATCAGCTTGTGATGCCCCAACATAGGGTTGCCTGTCCGAGATTTGAATCCGAGTCATTTGATCAGCGGGTCAACGGTATCGCGGGCTGTAGACCCTCAGCCCCAAGACCAAGCGAAAGTGTCCATTCCCGTCCTGTAATCAGGATAGATTTGTGCGCGCCACTCCCATGTAACCTAGATCGTGCTACTCAACAGAACAGCAACCCTGGCTAGTGACTGCGCTCATGTATGCGCCATATTTAAGTCTCTGGTATTGTTTATCTTGGATGCCTCGCCTACAAGGCGGAGAATACGAAATAGAAAAGATACTTTCTTTGACGGTACATGGAATCCGACATCATGGTTGAATATCAACTCCTGCGTGTACTCTGCATTCAGCGTAGAGCTTCCCATGTAGCTGATATTTACAATCCCTTGCGCCCTTTTGCTGTTGATTGCAAACTAGGGTATTTGATGTTGGAATTACACCATGAATCCTAAGAACACCTGTAGAACTCACACCGTTGTAGCTAGGATCGTAGCAAGCACACGAGATGGAGGGGACGAATAAATGCGGATGAAAGAAGCAGAACGGGAATACCCTTGAATAGGGTTTTATTACATTACAATTGACGTACTGGCACTAAAACGAGAACTAGAAAAGTAGTAGATATGATGGAATTTAGACAGGGGGCTTATGTTAGCATGACATTCACCCCGACCAACAAATAAAGAGATCGAGATGTCAGAAAAATCGGGAGGAAAGGTTATCATTTGGCAAAGTTCAGGCGTCCCTGTTACGACGGCAGTTCGACCATCGATTTCGATGATGTCCACCGTGTGCCCCACAGACTGCATTGTGGGAGCAGGGACGGTGACTTACGCAGGGGTTTATAGTGCCAGTAGACTTGCGTAGCATCTACCTACACTCTCTCCTCCTCCCCCGCCTGAGCCCGGTGTCAAGACCAAGTCAAGAAGATCGGAGATGGGGGAGGCCGCAGGTGGATGGCTCGGACGGATCCTCGCCTTGGCGCTCCACTCCGCACCACCTGGTCCACACACAAATGACCAGGATTTTGACCACAAAACAATGGGGTGATGGCAGTGGTCCAGTTGTGCGACGATTGCCGACAACAGGGTCTGCCAGCGCACCCCGCAAGTGTTGGCATTTGTTATTGCGCACAGATAACGCCTGCCAGAGTACGATGTGGCCCCCGTGTTGGTCCAGCGCATCTAACACGTGGCCCGTTTTGAGGGCACCCCTGTTACGAAGGCAGTATTGATGAACACGTTGTTCGATCAATGTTTCCAGGCCATGCATACGGACATCGTCAGCGTTAGGTGCACTAAAAGATGTTGCATCATTCTGTTTGTCAGTTGAAATGGTGCTACTTTCCTGCTCAGTAATGGGTGGGTGGTCAGGGAAAATGGAGTGGAATTTTCAAATACAGGCGTCGCTGTCTCCTGGTGACAATCACCAACATCTTCACCGCTGTGAGCGAGTAGTCGACCGGATACAGTTTCTTCGCTGCCTTTATTGAGTCGTATATGAGCATATTGGGGTCACATTGGAGCAGTTCGATCTCCTGAACAAGCGGATCAAACGTGGACTGTTGACTGCTCTTCTTCAGCAGAACTCGGCCAGGAGAGGTAAGCCACATGGGGAGAGTAGTCCTAATATTTGACCTCCTGTTGTAGACAAACATTCTCTCACGAGGTGTCGCATTAACGGCAGTACACAAAAGTGATCTACTTGAGTGTAAAGCGTCAAGTAAGACGGATTCGCAGTGTGTGACGGGCAGATTTTGGGATTTTAGAGCAAGCAAGATAGTCCTCTATACAGTTTTGTCCAGACGTTCGACCTGCCCATTTCCTTGGGGATTGTACGGAGTTGTCCTACTCGTCGCCACTCCCATACTGCGAAGGATTTGCTAAACTTCGTTTGACATAAATGAAGACTCCCGGTCGGTGTGTAAGTACGAAGGAGTACTGAATGTGAAGAAGAGCTGGCACAAACATTTGATGACAGTTTCGGCAGTCTGATCAGGACAGGCAAATGCAAATGGGAAACGAGAGTACTCATCAATAATCGTCAGCAGATATCGGTTGTGGGTTACCGACCGAAGAGGACCTTTAAAGTCGAGTGATAATCGTCCGAACGGCCGGGTGGCTTTGATGAATTGACCTTGTGTTTTTAAGAAACGGGGTTTGACTTCACAGCAGGTCCGACATTTAGCGACGACATTACGAATCTCTTCTATCGAAAAGGGCAGATTCCGAGCTGGAACAAAGTACGAAAGCCGAGAGACACCGGGATGACAAAGTGACTCATGTAGTTCTTTCAGACCGACACTGGTTTGTAGGGCGTCACAGCAATTACGGGAAAACGTGTCCGCCGCCTGATTTTCTTTACGAGGTCGGTAGACAATGTCAAATTTGAATGGTGATAGCTCCAACCTCCAGCGTCCGATCTTATCATTATTGAGCTTCCCTTTTTGCTGATTACCGAAGATAAAGGCAACAGAATGCTGATCCGTGATGAGTTTAGAGTGATTACAGAGGAGGAAGTGCTTCCATCTATTTATGGATTCCACTGCAGCGTATGCTTTTTTCTCTATATCTGAATGATGTCTCTCGCTTAGAGAAAGGCTACGCTAGAAGAACGCTACTGGTCGGCCATTCTGATTCATGTGGCAGCGATTGCGAAGTATGGAGTATCAGTCTCGACAACGAATGGGGTATCGTACTGAACAGTGGCCACTGTGGCTTTCGCACGTTCCTCCTTAAGAGCATCAAATGCTCCCATTACCTCCAGTGGTAAATATAAAGTTTTGTTATGGATGAGCAGATGAATTTTATCCGAAGAGTGAGGCATCAATTGTGAGTAGTATGCAAACAGTCCTACAGTTCGTTGTTGAGACTTAAGACCATACGGAGGAGCCATTTCACGCAAGGACCTTAGACGACCCGGATCCGGTCTAACGTTGCCCTTGCATACCTCGCAACCAAGAAGTTTGATTTGTTTAGCAGCAATAACACTCTTGGCTTCATTGAATGTTAGTCCGTACTTTTCGACCACGCTAAGGAAGTCTCGAGGGGTTGAATCATGCTCCGCGAGGCCGTTCCCACAATATTTATAGTGTCCGCATAGACGAAGATATTCTTTAGACGCTCGCGCGTAAATGTCGTCGATGGCCCGTTGGAAGCATGCAACCCTGTTGATCACACCAAACGGGTTTCGACAAAATTGGTACAAACGCCCACAAGCTTCAAAGACAGTGCACGATCTTTCCTCTACCCGGATGGTGTCTGGCGATAGGCGCTCTTGAGATTAAGAGTGCCTTATATGTCATAGTTTGAAATATGTTCAGTCATTTCGTGCATTCTGGGGGCAGAGTAGGCATCTAGAAGCGTGTATTTGTTGGCCGTTTGGCTATAATCGACAACCATCCGCGCTTTGTAGTTTTCATTGGCTACCACCAAAACTTGGGCTCGCCAAGGGAATAGTGAATGCTTAATTACACCCTCAGAAAGAAGGCGACGAATTTCTTCTCTCATCCATATTGGTGTGCCTGCGAGATTTGGTAGCGATAGGTTCGGTGTCAGGTTCAGAAACAAAGGGGAAGGCTCGACACAAGCGGCAGCCACAGAACAAGGCGATAACGTAGGCGTAGGTCCACCAAAAGGGATTTCAACACTTGTGGGGTCGGAGAAAGTCATGTCCAAGTAGAACATCGGCGCAAAAATTCGGCAAGACCGATAGCTTGACCTTCTCGTATATTGTACCTTTATATTTAATAGAGACAAGAACATGTCCGTGCGTGGCGCTGGTTAGGGTGGTGGTGGTGGCCATGGATATCTTAGTGTGAGAGTTATGAACCTTTACTCATTTTAGAGTACCAATGAAGAAGAAATGTAACTTTCAGAACTACCTATGTCAATTAGAGCCTAAAAGGTAACTCCATTTGTTTGTAATTCAACCACTGCGCTTGAAAGACAGTTGAAAACAGCAGCTGGTGCCACGGCGGAAATGGTAGGATACATAGCGGAAGAGACTGCTTCTCGGTTTCGTGGTGCCAGGCACACCTTTTGAAACTGCCCTTTTTACCGCATCCTTTGCATAACGAATCACGTGCGGGGCACATCGAACGGTGTTGCCTGTCGTATGCACAAAAGAAGCATGTGCTAGGGAATTAAGTAGAAGCCACTAGGTCAGGCTCTTTAACGGGACTCGATAAAGTGTCAAATGGCTCAGTAGCAGCAGAGAATGAGGGCTTCGGAGAGTTCTGATACGATAGATACCGTCTCTCTGCCAATTCCAGTGACGTTTCCTGGTCAAAGGCAGTTTGGAAATTCAGATCCTTCTGCTCCAATAACGTCTGCCGAATCTGGTTTGACGAAAGGCCACTGATGAACGCATCTCTAATGGCATCGTCGTTATCTTGTTCTGCCGTAACGGCTTTAAAATCGCGGTCGTCAGCCAAGGAATTTCATTTTTGGGTAAACTGGTCGAGGGTTTGTACGCCTTCCTGTCTGCAGGTTGCCAGAAAATGGCGGACAAAGATTTCGTTTTTGGGTCTTGAGTAGAGACCTCGTAGAAATTTAACAGCTTCGTAACTGGAGCATCAACTTATGCATTCCCAGACTGTGGGAGAAACGTAGTCAGAACGCTTAATTTATCCGGTTTAAGGTAATTGATCGTGGGTAAGAAACTTTCAAAGATGCGAAATTAATGATTCCTTTGTTTGGAAGCGTCTTGAGCATTCGGATCAACATCGAATCGTTCTGGCCTAAGGAATCGATCCATTCTGGAGTTGTGAAATGAATAAATTGTTGTAGCTAGGACCGTAGCAAACACACGAAATGGAGAGGACGGACAATTGCGGTTGCAAGAATCAGAACGAGAATACCCTATAATTTGGCTCTATTCATTTTACAATTGATGTGCTCGGACTAAAACGAGAACTAGAAAGGTAGTAGTAAATAAGATGGAATTTAGTCAGGGGCTTATGTTAGCATGGTAAACACAAAGTTGTCTTGTATACTCTACTCTCTCCCCTTCGTGTGGGGAAAATGTGATTGCAGTGTCACACTATTCCTTTTCAACAAATTTAGTTCTATAATGAAATAAAGGGAATAACTGCCCTGCGGCTTTTTTCGATTTTCTAACCGAAAATTAACCCTGTAGTTAAACCTTATACTACTAATATGCGCTTCTCGCCAGACCCAAGCCGGCGTACACTATGGGTGCCAACTCACAAGACGTTGAACAAAGTTTGGCAGTTTTTGACCAGAAACTGTAACCCCAGTGGGGTTGGTGGGTTGAAAAGTATAGAGTGGAAACTTAGGCTTATGGTGCAAGGTCAAATTTTACATGATAGTGTCTCAAATTCTGAAATTGATCTGCCTTATCCAGGCGTTGGTGATAATTTCGTCACAACAGTTCTGATTATGTGAAACTTAGCCGGAAAACGTGTTCCCTAAAATGCAATCTCATCGCCACCCTTTCTCCATTAGATCTCCGTTGGGTGCTCAGCTGTCCAATCTATTAGAACCTTGCCAGTTTTGCGAATAAGCGATATTCTTCTTGTGACTCACGTACATAGCCTATCTTTACCTGTTCACTTGTTTGGTACACCAGACCAGGGATTTTCAATGCAACCGCGGCATAATATTTTCTTAGATTGAAAGTTACGCCCTAATATTGAGTCGAGTTTCTGGATCCTGCTTCTAAATGACGCGGGTTGTCTCAAGTGTGTTTCCCACTTTCAGCCCACTCTGTTTACAACGTGCGTTCGGATCATAATTTATTCTTATACTCGTGCTGATCTAGTCTAAAGTAGTGGAAAATAGTCATGTTTTCACAAAATTCACTTTACTTGATGCGAAACCTTTATGGACTTTATGCATCAAGTAAGTAGGGACCAAAACCTCAGGAACACTCCTCATCTCCTCGCTACACTAGATCCTAGAATTCAAATTTCGAAATTTCAGAATGCAAATTTCAAAATTCAAATCCGGAGTACATCATGGACGACGTAGATTTAGGTCCATAAGTATAGGCGCTTGATTTTATTCGGCTTGTCTGAGAGCACTCTTAACGACGTGGAATAATTGCCTGGGTCGGTTCATGTCATCCGTTCTGACGTGCCCGTTCCAATGCTATTATACCTGCCGCAGCACAACGTCGTTACCGAGAATCCCCGTTCTTCCCAGGACTTCGGCGTCCGGGGCATTTCCAGCCACTTCACCTTCAGGATTTTCCCAAGGCAGTTGAGATGAAAGTGGTCTTCCTCTCTTGCTTGACTTTCATAAACTGTCTATGTCTCCAACTCACGGAAGTGTAGACAGGGCAACAGCCATGCACATTCTTAGTTTTATTTTGAGGGTGCCGATACGATTAAAGAGGGGGGTTTTGTAACCTGTCGAAAGCCTTACTAGCTTGCTTTGGAGATTCTACGGTCGATTTCGTCGTCGACTTTGATGTTCTTCGAGATCGTCCCGCTGAGGTACATGGAATCTTCCACTGGTATGATGCGAGTATTATTGATCCTGCGTCCGTTGTAATCATCATTTGACGCCGGCTGATGAATGACCACTGTCTTCTCTGTGCCACTTGTCATTTCTAACTTTGATCAGCTTGAGACTGAGGTCCACACTGCGCTTCCATTGTTGTATTTGGCGTGCAGTTGTCCACGAACTAGAGGTCATGGACACCGACCTGAGAACCTCTTGTTAATGCCTGCATGTGTCGGGTTTTCTTCAGTTCGGTAAGTGACGTCGATTCCGAACAGCTTTTCACGGTACGCATTCACCAGAATAATTGAGATTATAAAGTTAGGTAGGGCGGGCTTGTATCGACGCAGACATTGAAGTCACCAAGAGAAATCACTTTTTCCGACTTCAGCGCAGTTGCGAGGAGGACGTGCAAGTCTTCGTGGAATTTGATTCTGCTGTCGTTTAAACTGATCATTGGCGGATGACGTGGAGGAGGAGGACGACTAGAGCTCCTGCTATCTTCATTTCTAATAAATTGGTCACTTAAGTGCTTAAAAACGAACAGACAGTTCCGGCTACCAGAGTAAGCAGTTTCAGCCCGACAGACTAGAAAGGCACGGGGCTGTAATGACGAGGATAGGTGTTGCGTCTTGACTTTTAGGTGGTCTACCTCGTGAAATGCCTATAGTAACGAAGAGACGAGTCCCCGTAAGCAGTCTTGAAGGTCGCTGGGACAAGAGCTTTATTAGCCTGACGTTTCGGATTCCTACTCGGACCTATCATCAGAGACAAAAGCAGTTACGCATGTTCCTTGCGCTAGGGGCTGCAGTATTTATAGGATGCAGTCGCCATCCTACTGCACACCTATGAATATTCACTACTCCCCTCCCTCCCCCCCCCCCCATCAGGGATCGTTGGACTTGGTGTGGCGACAGTTTGATGGCCGAAATTCGCGTCGTTAATTGCTTCAATTACATCACGTGTGTTGGATGTTAGTGTGACGATTGCTCGTTCATCTGAACCGACCCTGGTGTTGAGAAAAGTTTTTACCTGTGCGCTCCCCTTGTGGCTAATTACTCCGCCTAAGGCGGTCTCAGCACCGAGTATGGGAAGGGAAGATCATTGCACTTGTTAATGGACTAGGGGCCAGTAACCAATGACTCAAACAGCTCCCGGCTCACGCGGTTGTCACCTCTTGCGAGAATTTCGGTCTCGTCAAATTTGAATGTATAGCCAGATTTCGTCAAATAATCTGCAACTTGAGAGCTGGCGTCATTTCACCGCACCGCTGCAGCGTGCTCGGCCATTCGCGTTCGGAGCTGTCTTCCAGTTTCTCCGACGTAGTTGCCTTGTCCGCACCTGCACCAGACCCGATAAATGACTCCAGACGTTTCTTGCCGTGGCAGGAGGTCTTTCGGTTTCATTACGTCACGCCTGATGGTTGCCTCCGGTCTGTGTGCAGCTCTAACCCCAAGTGGTGCGAGAAGACGGCCGACAGATTCCGGAACTTTCTTGACATGCGGAAGTGCTCGCCAAAATTTGGTGTCCGTGCTGTTAGACCTTTCGTCCCGTTTGCGTATGCACCGGCTGACGAAGTTGCGCGGGTAGCCATTGGCTTTGAAGACTCGTCGGAGGTATTGTAGTTTGGCAATCTTGTCGTCCGGTCACTGCAGTGCGTTTCAACACGCCGATAGAGCGTCCTTACACAACTGCGTTTGTGATTGATTGGGTGGTTGCCGCTGAAATTCAGTATTTGCATCGTATTTGTCGCTTTCCTGAACACTGGTCTCTATTCCACCACAATCTTTGCGGCATACGAGGACATCCAGGAAGGCCAGCTGATTGTTCTCTTCCTCATCCACCGTAAATTGAATGTTCAGGAAGATGGCGTTGAGATGCCCTTTGAATGTCAGCACCTGATCCCGTTCGATGACGACGAAGGTATCATCCACATACCGGGCCCAGAAATTCGATCTGTCGTTTTGGAAGACCAGTTACTCTAACCGTTGTAGGACCGCCTCGGCGATAAATCCCGAAATCGGCGAACCCATTGGTGTGCGCTTCACCTGTTCGTAGATTGTCCCGTCGAACGTGAAGCACGTCCTGAGACAAAGCTTCAGGAGCTGAATAACTTGGGCGTGTCCAAGACGGTTCTCCGTTGAGATTAACTATCATTACGCGCTTATAGTGGAGTTGGTCTCATTTGAGAGGAAAAAACGTTCATTTTCAATGATTGATTTGTTCAGAATAGTTTATAGACGAGATAGTAGCAGCAGGTAAACTGAAAAGTCATTTGACGAAGAGCCTTCCGGAAAATAAAGATAAACCAAAGGGATATTTCGACTATTTACAATTTGACCTTGGAAAACAATCTCAAAAGGGTGGTGCTTTGATCAGCTCCAGAAAAGCTGTAAGTTACGACGTAGCGCAGCACTTTTTACAGAATAAGGAACTGCATTCAAAGCTGAAAACATTAATTTCCCTAACTTTAGACTGCCAGGAAACCCTAGAATAAGTGCAACATACTCTGCTGGCATCTTCCGTGGTGACTTATAAATTTAAGATTTTTTGCGAGGCGCTGATACTTAGTCCCTAGAGCCAGAGAAAGAGGAATTGGATAAACTTTTAACACTATAACTGGAGATGAAAGCAAATATCAACAGAGAAAGCTCAATTGCTTGAAATTTTACTAAGCATCAGACTGGAATGACCAAACGTTTGCTTCTTTTTCACTATGACATCAGGAGAGGGACGAGGGAACATTATTTTCTTCAGTTAATGAACCATAAAGTATATCTGAGAGGACTATGGTAGGATAGATGTGTCAGTATCTGCGCTCATGGGACGCCCGGAAAAAGGGTTTGTCAGTTATGCTTTGTGTCGTAATACACTCTATCATACATCGCAAGGCTTTCGCGTCAGATATTTTGCCACAAAAATAAAGACGACAAGTGAGTATGTCCCACGTTATGTCTACAGCGTTCTAGCCCTTTATCGTCATATGCGGGGCCAGGGATTCGAATAGTAAATGTCTGCTGTGTCATGCAGATATTGGATTGCCTTTAAAGACAAAGGTACTTAAACGAGTTTTCCACCTGCAAACTGAAATCGCTCCCTTCCATGATGTCAAGAAATTTGGTCTTTTATTTTTGGGACGACGTTTAGTGGCTTGAGTAAAGTTTCGCCAATTGCTTTTTCCACAAATCCTACAAGGTTAGGAAGAGAACATCTTCGCAAACCAAAAGAGCTCAAAAAGGGGATGCAACTGAGAAACATGAAAGCAAAAAATTCACGGCTTGAATGCCTCCAAACTACTGCTGCATCTCCATCAAAAAGTGGACGAACGATGCCTTCACGTGGCTGTATTCAGTCCTGGCGACGGTTGGCCTATAGGCAACTAAACGTCGAGTACGACTGAAAACAGGTGGCTCAGTGGTATTAAATGTAATATATGGCGGAGTGTTTAGTCGGTTGGTCAAACTCCGATGACCCAGTAATGACTTAAGGTGCCAAAAGCAAACAACGATGGGAAGGGTGAAATCACAGATGGGGGAGGGTTAGGTTTTACGAATTATGATTGGATTGGGGAGAGTTAAGCGTTGCGAATTAAGCATTTCGGAATTTCGGTTGACATTTCACGAGTTAGCCCACCTACTGTATATTTTGGTTCCAAAAGCCATGCTCAACATGCAGCATATTTCACTGCCCTTTTATTGCATGTTTCTCAATCTCTTCCTCTAGGAAGCGTTAAGCAGTGCGTCCGCAAATATAGCTACATTGTAACCCTAGAAGGCCGCCGAACTCAACCGCGAATTACGACTGAGCTACAGTAAGATGACCTGAATTAGCCCGAGGAGCCTACATGCTCATGTTGTGACGGTGGTCTTGCCTAATCTAACCGATCCGGGTGGTGGGGCGTATACCACCTCACCATGCGTAACCATGTGCGGCAACGTACCTTTGTCGGCGTTTTGTCGTACAAAGACCATCTGACCGTTGGAACGGATGGGTCTGCTCGAGTCCCCGCGCAGGACGTTCCGCCCATCTCAGCGCAAGCGTTTCTAAGAGCGAAATATTATGCGTACTCCTAGCATTTAAGTAGCGATTTATGATTGATATTTCTGCACACGGTTGAGAAGCTTATCGGTAGAACGCCGGCAAGCTACATTGAAGTTATGTTCCTTATGACTCTTGTGCGCCCACCTTATTGTTTCATTCTATTTAAAAGTGCATTTAAATATTTCGGTCAGTATCTCATGGATTCCAGTGCATGCTGCATGTTGCAACTGTTGTCCAGGTATTGTCCTCTTATCCTGGTGTCACTGTAGTGTCCAACTCCAAATTCCTCGATGCATAATCCGTAAAGCGCAGTGCCCTTTGCATATTTTCATATTTTTACTTCTCCTTTCCATTTAGACCACGGAAATCTCTCGATTTAATCTAGCCACCAGCGGCCACGTCAACCTCACCCGCGTGGACCGCATTCTTTCACGGTTTGAGCACTCTAGGGCACTGAGTGCCTCTCTCTGTTTGGGCAGACACTTGGCTAGACGCGGCGATCCGTTCCTCCAAAATCTCCCTTCCTACGCCTTCCCCGTGGCCGTGGTGCGGGAACTGAGTCGCCGGGGCACCCTTGTGGCTGCAGTCAGTGGCCGCACCGACGTTCAGCTCATCAGACTCCTTCGATTCATTCGGAAACATGCCTGGTATCCTGACGCCCTGCCTACTTGTGTCCTCCTTTACCACACAATAACGGGTATGCTGGTACTGTTACTGTGTTAATCAGAAATTCACTCTGTGAGGTCCCCCGTACCCCAAGCTAATGGCAACTGATACTAGATAGTCGCAGTCTTCCTTGTTCAAAGTTATCCGTATTGCCAAATTTAGCCACGACGTTTAGCGCCTTCGGTTTTTTATAGTGAGGTAATCTAGTGCAGGATCCCACTGGCATGACCCCTTTCTCTCTCTCTAATGCCGGCAAAAAGTCAGAGTCACGCCAACTGGAGGTTAGATTGGGTGCAGTAACCCACGTGACGTGAAACCCACGCCTAACGCGTGTACCCGTTCAAGGCTGACGCAATAGTTCAAAATGCTTACAGCCAGTTTCTTTCAACGCTAACATTCCTACATGGAATATGAGAGGGCATTTGTTTAGTCGGCAGGTGACCAGGTGTCGCCAACATGTACAGTCTACACACGTACTTTGGGGTCAAAAGGTGAACTTTCCCAGTCAACGCATGGCTGCCCACTACTTGAATTAATTTCTTTCAAACAGCCTATCGGCACATTTTCGCACTGGGTGCGCCCAGGCCGCTATTTACCCAAGAAATTCTTGTACGTAGTCTTGAAATCAACACTGATGAACGAGTGGTAAAAAAGCCGATGGCTATTAAAGATTGACTCCTGGGTAAGTGTAGCGTTTAATACCGCCGTAGGTGTCAAACTCGGCTCTAGCCTCTCCAACAGGCTAGTTGACACACAAGTGACCGTGGTGCTGTTTTCGAGGGCTCAACAACTGTAAGCATAAGGGAGTTGACTTAACTGCTAAGTATAGTTTCCTTTTACCTAAATAGCGACCAAAGCATTGTATTATTCTTGTCTTCTGTTCTTATTTTCAAACACCTTTTGTAGATATCTATCCTACTTCCCGCCTCATGAGCATTGCCGAATTTTCCAAAGTTGGCAAACTGTTCCAGGTGATGTCGTCGAACATAAAAAACATGTTAGAACTGTCTAAGAATCTCCATGACCTGCTCTATTCCAAACCCACGGAGGAGGTGAAAATGGAGGTAGCAGAGGAGGAGACGGAAACAAAGAAGGGGCCGCCGGATTCTACACAAGCCATTGAGGTATGCTCTCCCAAGAAGATTCGACAAAAAACCCGACAGAGTGAAAAGCATCGAAAATCCCTGGAACCATCGACCACTGTCTCAAAAAAACGGAGACGTTCTGAGTTGACAGTGTAGGTAGACTGACGGTCCTTCAGTGTATACTACCTTTGTAAATAAACACTTGACTGACAGACGTCACCTTCTTGCGTCATCTTCCGGTCGCCACTAAAGCAGATTGGTCGCAGTTGCATCATTCTGACGGCATTTGACGCAATAGGCTACGCCAGCGCCATTATGGCTTGCTCTGACCAATAGGCGCGCATTGCATCATCTTGTGTCACGTCGTCAGGGGGCGGATGCACTTTTTCGTAACGGTGACGCGACTGCATCTGTGATTGGAGGACCTTAGGCATTGTATGCGTCTGCTGTGACATGACCAGCTTAGCATGACTCTCGCGGCCTGGTGTGCGCCGACAATTCTCTGGCACCTGGTTTCCTGCCGGTAGATGCGCTTGCGCTCCCGTTGGGTGTAAAGGTCATGTGTATGGTTGCTCACTCCTCATCTTTCTGACCCCATATTTTGTTCTTGCTGATTAGAATCCTGGTCAAGTGTTTGTTGTGGACCAGAGGGTGCGCGTCATGCCGTACCAGCCACCTCCCGCCTTCGGTCTTCTTGACTACGTCTTGACACCGAGTGCGGTAGATGCTGCGCAAGCATGCCCTCACCATAAACTAATCCACGCGCAAGTCCCCATGCCGCGGGACACACGATGTACATCGTCGGCAATGACGCTCGAACTGTCGTCCTTAGACCTCAAACTCTTCTACTGATGCAGTCGGGGGCGGATAGTCTAGTACTGGAAGACATATGTACATGCAATAGACAACCTAACTCCCGAATTTCGCCTAAATGAACAAGCAGTCTCTATTCAATCGGGAACCAGCTCACATGCATCGACTTAAACACCAAAGTAATAAAGTATGGCTTCAGTTACCTGGAAATTCGAAAGGGATATTTGATGCACCATGTTGTTGGATGAAATAACACTTTCCGAGAATTGGGGACATGTCGGAAACGCGAAAATTCGTGTAAGGAGGGTGAACTCCAGCCTTGGAAGTACATAAAGCCTGTACATGCAAATGACGGCATAGGCATGACAGCGTCTAAAAACTGTTCTTTTCAAACATTCGTAGCACATTTCTCACAGCGGGAAGTATGACACCCAGTCAGGTGTACAATGTTTGGCCGTGTTCTTTAAAGCTTGTTTCTAGAATAACATGTAGTTTTTTTCGCGTTCTTGTATTATTCGAGTTGCGGTTTATCAAAGCAGGGAGGGTGTCGATTCATTTCGCTGATAGAGACGTCAGCGACCAGTAAGTTCGGTTGAAATTAGCAGATACGGTAGTAAGCGTGCAAGTTTCTGTGCGGTTTTCGGCGATAATGTATTCCTCTGCGTTATGGGTTGGCAATAAGTGTCGAAATATTTTTGCGGTTCTCGGTGTTCTTTGTCGTCTGACCAACAAGATAGGTTCCGCAGTTTGTATCTATCAAAACCGCAATATGATATTTCTTGAGGGCATTACTGAAGTAGTGGCTTCTTGGCTGTCCTTTTCCGCGCAGATGGCCGCTTTGGGTCATATTCGTAGACTCACCAACCTCATCGCCCGTATAAAAGGGATGTCCACAATGAAGGCCTGATTCCAATTTGCTCTTGATCAATTGAAAAATCGGCAACGGCGGGTTGTGTGATCCCACCTGGCAGCAAAAAACTCCAGGCCCGCATAGTTCGGGAATGGTGGCAGTAGGGGTTTTAGGGGTGGGCTATAATCGCGCTCGGGAAACGATATGGATTCAGTAAAACAAAAGTAAGTAGATTCCCGTTGAAATTCTTCCAAGTCTACATATAGCAACGGAGCTGGGCGCGTTAATCGGAAAACATGCAAAACTCAACTGACAATAAATAAAAGGCATTTAAGTAGACCGCCGCTGGCATGTTTAGGGCAGGTCAGGAACAAAAGGACGAATACCAAGTGTCAAATAATACAAGTGAGAATTTACGGCAAGAGAGCGTACTGCACGCGAACGCTGAAGGAGCTATGCAAATACACCCTAGTGAACACGAAGAAAGTCAAATGACGTAAGTAGGTACGCATGTACTTATCTGCATGATAAGGCAAATTAGAAATGTAAATTAAAAGATATAGTAAACCAAGAATATGTATATAAGGGTTATGTGCAATAATGATTATTCACTAACGGACAGAGTAGGTAATTGTGTTTTTTTCTTTCAAAATGCAGAACACCTATTCCAGATCGCACCAAAATAAGACAGCCGCCGGTTGATTTTCTGACGAAAACGGAAGAAATAACCGAAGTTATAGGCACGGAGAATGTAATGGAATACTGCCAAGCAAGTGGACTACTACCTAGTGTTGTAAAATGCAGATGTGGACGCAAAATGCACCAGCAACTATTGAGGCTACACAGTGACGGGTACGTATGTCGATGCGGCCAATGTCGCAAGAAGGGGCTCCATTTATGATAGCAGCAGGCTTACTATCAGGACAATAATAAACATATGGCTGGCCTTCATAAGGGGCATCAGAGTTAAAAAATGCTAAGAGGATTTGCCTTGTTTAATTTCCGAGGAAATTAATGCGCGAACTTGGAGTAAATCTTTCGAATCGGGCCTTTTCAGGCACGCCCCAAATTTTAGTATGAATATTTGAGCTGAAATCCATCAGCTAAAAGGATGCTAAGAGGATGTCGGCGTATGTCATACAACAGTGGTGGAAGGGTAGGCACTTTGCCGGAATGCCTGCTCCTCCGCCCGAAAGAAACCAGATTGGCGGTCGCGGCATAGAATTCCACGTTGGCGAAACATTAGTCAGCAGACAGAAATACCACGTTGGAAGACGCATAAGGTAATTGTGGATCGTTGGTATGTATGATACTACGTGAAAGGAAGCACTGTTTGAACAAGTAAACGATAGAAGTTGGCCATCGCTCAGACCTGTCATTAAGGAATGGGTGACCGAAGGAAGCATAATAGTGGCAGATAAATGGAAGTCCTACAAACGCCTCCAGTTTGAAGGCTATGAACACTACAGTCAAGCATTCAAAGCATTTCAAGGATCCGACCACTGGAAAACACACCAATGAAACTGAGGCCTATTGGAGCAGACTGAAATGGAAGCTCCACAAAAGGGGACCGATGTTTGATCGAGCAGTATGGGCCCAATTAGACGAAGTTCAATATCGTCTGTGGTTTAGCATAGACAGCGTGGGACTAAAGCAAGCTTGGGAAGTATTCCTGTCGCATATTGCGTAAGCAATTTCTTGAAACGGGAACCCGAAAGAGTCCTTTCCGAAGACAATTTAATGACCGTCTAAGTAAATGTTTGTACATAAATTCAACTAAATTTAACTGCCTTATTACTGGTTATGTGAGGGAGTGCTCTCAAGTATCCTTAAAAAGTATATCAGTCACGGCGTACAGTTTCAGCAACAGAAACCGTTAGAGGTACAGGAATGCGTGCGCTCGTTTTCCAACCGAGGCAGAGTAAATCAACACGCAGCCGAGGATCCTTACAGCACGCGCTGTATGGCGAGTACAGAAATGAGGGTTGAATATTTAGCTAGGTTTTCCGAAGACGTTATTAAGTTATGAAGTATACTGTCGACAACAAAAACCGATAGATGTTCAGGCAGGCGTGCGCTTGTTTTCTAACCGAGGGAAATTAAGCAAGCACGTAGCCGAGGATCCTTACTGCACGCCTTTAATAGTGAATACCGACATGGGTGCATACGGAGACTTCCTGTGGCCAGGAACTAACAAACTAAACAAGGTCTACTAAAACAAATATAGTCGTTAGCCATGTGCATCAGTCCCAGTGCGGTTACATAACCTATCCTTACCGAAAAATCTATAATAAGTCACCTCTTAAAAGTAGTTTAATCTGGTGGTTTGCTATTGAACGCACTCGCGTTTCATCTTTATCCAAGGTAAAGTTGTGGGAACAATTGAACTCTCAGCTCCCTTCCCAATTTCTGCGAAGATTACTTGTATCTTCTCGACGCAAACGAAAGAACTCGCATTTACTTTCAAATCGGTGCCACTTTCATTGTATTTTCTCACCTCTAGACTTCCGTCTGCGATTATGGATGCAACACTGAATGACCATGTGAGCGTTGGTGCTGTGCCGGTTCGGTTTCTAAATTGCGCACTAGGAGAAAGTAGACAACTCAAAAAAACCCTTACTACGTGCTCGAAAGTTGAAATGCCCTCTTGGCGGGTAGGCATTTCACGGTTTCTTGTGGAAAATTCGCAAACACCAGGAAAATATCGCTACATCGGGAGAAGGAATTTCCTGTGAGTATTACCGTGGCCTGAATAGCTTAATCTCCGAGGAAATTAATGCGGAAACTTGGAGTGAATCCTGCGGAACAGACCTTTTCAGTCACGGTCCGAAATTTGACATGAATATTTGAGCTGAAATCCATCAGCTTCTGCTGAATGACCGCGTAATATTCACAAACCGCCAAAAGGCAGCCAGTAGTATAGAATGGTGTAATTATTTACCGCGATGACAACACAGATACAAGCTAAAAGCTCAGACATGGGGTGTTTCGCCGATTTTGTGCCGCTGCCTGACGCAGCTGCGAGGGCCTCGACGCATCAGTGGGTGGCTGCCTGTTGGCGGTTTGTGAATATTACGCGGTCATTCCTCGGTAGCTGATGAATTTCGGTTCAAATATTCACGTCAAATTTCGGACTGTGCCTAAAATGGTCTGTTTCGAAAGATTTATTCCAAGTTTGCACATCAATTTCCTCGGAAATTAAACAAGGCAGGGTGAAACTGGAGTTAATATGCCAGAAAAATACACGGACAAGGCTGGCGGACTCACTGGCCAGCCGAACCCCTCGCAGCTGCGTCAGGCAGCGGCATAGGATCGGCTAAACACGCGTGTCTGGGCTTTTAGCTTCTACCTGTGTTGTCAGTATGGTAAATAATTACACGATTACCGTGGTATTTTAGGGCATAAAATCACATTGATTTACAAATCCGAAATCATGAAATTGAACAAGCGTCTTATTTTAAGATTAAAGGGATTGTTCACATCTCCTCATGCCTGACTTAAGCAGAAGAAAAACCAGTTTCTAGGTGGATGACATTTGGCTCGACAAGGGTTTCCAGTTTAGATTACTGTCCCTACTTAGGTATACACACAATCTTGAACAAAATTGTTCTAGGACAGTTATTATTATAGGAAATCGCCCGAATGTAAGTTACGTTATCAAGTGTTGCATGGGTTGGTGGGTAGATGGGTAGTGATGAATAGGTTTGCGGTGATCTACCGCAGGTTTTCATGAATGCACTTGTGACCAAATAGGCCGATGTGTGAGGTGGACATGCACTGACAATGTGGACAAGATAGGTCGAGGGATGTTGGATCGGTTGTTACTGTGATGCTGCTAGCGGCGGGCGCTTCGGTCGATGGAAAGTTGATTGGGTCGGGATGGAAGGGTAGCTGGATGCGCAAGGTGTGTTATATGTGTCGATACAGCAATTAATTCCGCTGTTGTGGGCACGCATGTGGCTGAGTAGGCCCATGCGAAGTATGAATGTGCGTGGGCAGTGAGGGCGGGTGCAGCAAGTGCATGCGGGGCCCTTGGCAGGCGTGCCGCGGTCGCAGTGCGATGGATTCGCAAATGACCGATCATGCCGATGCGTGAGGTAAATATGTGGTCGAAATAGGAACAGGCCGGGGGCGGAGTGGTGGTTGGCGGGCCATCAGGAGAGTTTTGTTCGGTGGTGGGAGTGGAAGTTGCGGCGGTGGTCGTATCACCGCGGACATTTTGACAGGGAGGATGGAGATGGCGGTGATCGACGGCGACGGGGCACAGCGGTGTAGAGAATCGGTGGTGCGGACGATCGTCATAGTGGACGCCGTGGGTGTTGGGACAGGGACAGACGTGAAGGCAACAGCTGAAGTTGTCGGGTTGGCGCACTGAGTCCGGAGATATCCGAAAAGGCCTATTCAGGCGCGGAATGTTAGTTGACAGCGCGGGTATGTTGGGAGGGTTGTGGGCTGGTGTTACTGGTCAGGGACGACTGAGACTTGCGAACTCCCTTTTGACTTGGGCAGCAGCAGTCTGGTTGGCTTCATAGGTGGTTGCTTCAATCTTCACTGATCTTTTTTTCAGGCCGGTCGGTTCTGTGCGATCCTCTCCAAAGTTCATTGGTTGATTTTTAGTCGTTTCAAGGAATTCTTAACGGTGGGATCGTAATGGCGAGTTTGACTCCATTGTCGGCGAACACCCTTAGTGACATCTCCGTAGTAGAGTTGTTTTGGCAGGCGCTGGTCGTTCATGCTCACGAGGTAACTGCAGGTAACTCAGCATGGCGTGGATGCTGAGGATTCCAGCCCGTTCCAGAGCTTCCGTGTCCGGGGTCCTGTACTGCCACGTCAGCTTTAGTATCCGTCAGAGACAACAGAAGTGGAAGCGATTGAGCTTCCGCGGTCTTTTCTTGTGGACCGTCCAGGTCTCCGCACCATACAGCAGCATCACCAATATGACAGCTTTGTACATCTTTAGTTCGACGTTCATGTGGAGACCGTGGCGATGCCATACGGAGTTCTGCTGATGGTCAGCCCCTAGTTGGCACATCTGGAGGCGAAGAGGTCCACGCTCTGTTGTGTGTCACCTTCTGTCACGGTATTAAGCGGACAGTCGTCCGCAAAGAGCAGTAGTCAGGAGTAGACGCGTCAAGGCTTGCATGCACCTGCTGTTGAGAAGATGAGCGTCGGTCCTGTAAACTATTTGGATTTCGAGATGCCAATCACCGTGGGCGTCCATCGGCATGGCAGAAAATATGCGGTTGAAGAGGGTAGTGTCGAGCATGCGGCCCCGCTTCGTTCCGTTGGTTGCTGGGAATGCTTCTGAGACGACCCAGTTTTCCGTGACACGTGCCCACATCCAGTCGTGGAGCTGACGCACCGAGTCCGTGAATCGCTCAGGACAGACAAATTTGTGCATGATTTTCCACAGTCCGTCGCGATTTACCGCGTTGAAGGCTTTCATAAGGTCAATGAATGTATTATAGAGGTGGGTCCGCATTTCCTGACGTTTCTACTATAGCTGACGGGCGGTGAATATCATGTTTTTGGTTTCACGGTGACGGCGGAAACCGCGCTGGCTTTCCGGCAGAAGTTAAGTAGGGCGATCGAAGATCTCCCCGACGATGCTGAGCAGAGAGATTCTTTGGTTATCACAGAGTTGCCGGTTCATTTTCCGTTTGTGGTGATGGACGATAGTTGCTTCCTTGAAGTCTTGAGGAACTTGTCCTCGGGGCCACAGCTCCTGGAATAGCGTTGTCAGTTGATCCATGAAGTGGGGACCGCCGTGCTTACATATTTCAACCGGAATCACGCTAGAACCCAGTATTTTCACGTCGGATTTCGTCTGGGAGAGAAGACAGCAGATCCAGGTAGTCATTTTTTCACTTGGGGGAGTCGGTCGATGACGGAGTCAGAGATTTTAGATGAGCAGTTGGGAGCACTTTTGAAGTGCTTGGCTCAGCGCTTCAGAATCTGCGACTTCTTCGTCAGGAACTTTGTTCCATCGCATCTGAGAAGCGGCACGGTTCCCTTATTTGGGGACTGTAGATTGCCCTGAGTTGTGCGAAGATCATGAGCTCATTGCGTTCGGCATACCTCAGGATTTCCCCAGCCTGGCGAGGTATCCAGGCGTCTAGCATCTCCCTCAGTCGCTGCTGCACGAGGAGGCGACAGAGTAAGAAGGTCGATTTGCTGGCATCGGTTCGATAGTTCATGTGGGCATTGTGTCGTTGTCGTAGGACCAGTTGGGATGTTGGCAAAGTGCACTTTCGAGCACGTACAAGACAGTGGATTGGATGGCGTTCCATAGTTCACGCCACCGAGTCTCCATAACGACCTCGTCCGAAACTGACAGTTCTTCCAGATGCTTGGCTAACATATTGCTGAAATGAAAGCGGTGGGCAGAACAGTCTTTAAGTCACTTGGTGGCTGTTTACCTTGTGGTCTCCTGCGGGTTTGCATTCGGGGTCAGATATTGAAGGTGGTGAGGCAGTAGTCTGTTCAACCGACGGCATCGCAGACAGTCTTGATCATCAGCACGCCCTGTCGATCTGGCCTCTGGATGAAAACGTAGTCGCACAGCTGTCATCACTTCGGCCGGGTGTGCATACAGGTTGTTTTGTCTGCATTAGAAGGCAATGGAAGATGTTGGTCTGGAGAAGGTAGTGTTCTGCGCGGGTTCGCAGAAGGCAGAGGCCATTGTTGGAGCCGGTGGTCCCGTAGAAACAAAGCACCCTCCCCCCCCTTCTGGTAGCGTAGTATGCCCCGATGTGAGCGGTGGCGTAACCAAGGGTAGCCAGTTCGTCCGCTTTCGGCACGTTTGCCATGACGGCGTGCAGGTCCTCCTAGAACTTTGCTTCCTTCTGGTAGGAGATGGTCATTGGGGACGTAGACGCTGACTATGGTTTCAAATTTGGGTCCCCGAAGAGGTGGCGCAGGCTCATAAGGCGGTGGTTGAGGCCCTGTGGCAGACAGGACAATCATTCCGGATTGCAAAGGCGACGGCGTCACGGCGCTCTGCCTTTGGGCGACCGCTGCAGACGAAGGTGTAGCTGGCACCCTCCTCTTCAATTCGTTCTTGTTTGGAGCAGCGGATCTCACTGAGAGTAGCGATGTCTACCTTGTAGCGTATCAGTTCTCCAGCGACGGGCGCCGTGCTCCATCACGACCGGTTGCTTCTCGGTCTGTTAAGAAGGAACGAACATTCGAGGCTGCCAGAGTGAGTTGGCTCACTCTAATAGCCTGTGGCGTGGGGCGTGGGGAGGGGACGAGGGTGGTTGTTGTTTGTTGTAGTTTTTCGATCGCGAATGCTATATCTACGAGCCACGGTATGCTAGCAGATGGCATGATGTTCTCGCGTTTGTTTGAGACGTATTTTATAGCCCCCTTACCCCGCGGGGGAATGAATAGTACTGTCCCTAAATAGGGAGGCTTAGACAGCCCAGAGGGATGTCGAACACCACAATAGGTCACGACTTTGTCTAATGGAAAGCAATCCGAGTTGTCGGGCTCCGCTTTCGGGGTAACATGCCACCCTCTCAGTAGAAGAGAGTTAGAAATTATAACAGGATTGTGGGGTGTGGGGACACGAGGCACCGGATAACCTCATCCGGTTTAGCCGCTGGTCGAGGCGTTCGCCGTGGTGTGATCAGTAGGCAGTGCCTAGTTTTTGAAAACCAAAGATGAGAGTTGAGTGCCAGTTAAGTGCCGTGAGGAACGGTTACCATTTGCACGGGGCAACTTACCGCTCACGCTCGGATGCCCCTAGCTGTACATCCGTATAACCTTCACACACACGACAGTTCGACCATCGTTATCTACGATGTCCACCACGTGTAACGACGTTTGGCGTGCCGTGCTAGACCCATGCCCGTCAGATTCCTTATAGGGAGGAATGCGCTGAAGTACCGTCGGTATGTAGTCCCCGGAGTCGTCCTCACTCTCTCCTTCCTCTCCCTAACTTGTACACCGATACGATTTGGGTGACATTCACGTTGATAACTGGCGTCTCTTGTTTCTCCTCGGGTGCTGGTTGATACTGTTTTGTGCCTGCTGATGTTGATGCGTAGCCGAAAGTGAAGAGACCCATGCATTTTTACGTGTCTGCATTTGTCATGACACCGAGCGCGCGGTTAGTCTCGACGAGGAGTTATCAAGCTGTAGTTATAGATATTTTCGTTGTTGCTCGCGGGAGTCGGACGTTGAAGAATCAGCCGTCTATTCTGTAGACGATATTGACGCTTGGCGTTCTTCAAGACAGGCGTCCATCAGCATAACAGAGAAAATAAAACTGGAGCAGTTGGTGAGCACAAAGCCCTGCTTGACTCCACTGGCCAATACTAATGCTTTCGAGACTGTTCTATTTTTTGGCTCCGGACATCCGCGTTTGCGCATGAACCTCCTAGGTCCATAGCGACTTCTCCCTCTCATATAGCGGTGCCGCGTTGGAATCCACATTCGCTTTCTGGGAGAAGTCCTTGTTACAGATGGCTGCTGAGGCGATTGAGGAGGATGAGAGCAGGATTTACTACTGTGGTTGTTACAGACTTGCCAGTTCCTCTTCCGCTTGTGGAGATGGACAATTGTTGGATCTTTGAGGCCCTGACGGACTTGACCCTATTGCTTTATCTACTTAGAGAAGAAGAGGAGTTTTTTTATCAGTCGAGGACCACCATGCCTGTAGACTTCGTCCGAAATTGTGTCGGTTCCTGGCGTTTTGCCGCTGCATTTCTGATGTACGGGCGCGGCGGGCGGATGAGTTTTGCGTTAGGTCCCACCTGAGGGAGTGCGTTGATTGCGGACGGTCAATTAAGGACGATTTTGCAGAGTTCGGCCTAGCTCTTCTGAATTCGCGATTTCCTCCTTAGCAGGGGTTTTCGGTCGCCAGTGAGCTAGCCAGCCTTCAGGCCGTCGCCCCTGAAGAGAATACCTCCATGGCGGACCGGTGGTGTCAACTACGGGAAACAGTCCAGTCAGTGGCCATGGCCATCCCTGTTCGCACACGCCGACAACGCCAGGACTGGCTCGATGAAAATAACGCCGCAATCAGCAACCTGCTCGCCGAGAACAACCATCCGCATAAAGCCTACATCCTCCGCCCCACCGACGATAACAAAACAGCCTTATACCGTAGTCGCTGCCTTGTGCAAAAGCGGCCACGCGAGAGGCAGTACGCCTGAACGGCTGGCAAGGCCGAGGAGATTCAAGAGTGTGCGGACCGCAAGGAATGAAAGGATTTCTTCTCCGCGATCAAAGCGGTCTACGACTCGCCAACCAAGGTTACTGCTTCTCTCCTCAGCGCCGACGGCAGTACCCTCCTCACTGAGAAGACGCAAAGTCTACAGTGATGGGCCGAGTGCTCCAGACGCGTCCATAACCGTCCCTCCACCATCTTCGACGCCGCCATCGCCCGTCTGCCCCAAGTGGAGGCCAACGCCGACCTTGACCTCCCGCCATATCTCCTCGAAACCATCAGGGCCGTGCAGCAGTTCTCCAGTGGGAAAGCGCCCGGATCAGATGCAACCCATGCAGAGATCTACAAGCACGGTGGCCCTCAACTCATTGATCATCTAACGGCGCTTTTTCAGGAGATGTGGCGTCAAGGATAATTTCTGCAGGATTTCAAGCACGTCAAAATCGTCCATATCTATAAGCGGGAAGGTAACTGCCAGGTCTGTGACAAAAACGGAGGCATCTCCTTGCTCAATATCACCGGAAAGATCTTCGCCCGCATTTTCCTCAACCATCTGAACCGCCATCTGTAACAAGGTCTCCTGCCGGAAAGCCAGTGCGGTTTCCGTCTCAATCGCGGGACCACAGACATGGTCTTCGCCGCCTGTCAACTGCAGGAGAAGTGTCAGGAGATGCGAACCACCTCTATACCACCTTCGTGGATCTGTCGAAAGCCTTTGACGCGGTGAGTCGCAAAGGATTGTGGAAAATCACGCAGAAGATCGGCTGTCTTTAACGGTTCACTCAGATGGTGCGTCACCTCTACGATGACATGATGACACGAGTCACGGACAACGGAGCTGTCTCAGAGGCATCCCAATTGACCAACGGAGTGAAGGGGGACTGTATCCTCGCGCGTACCCTCTTCAGTCTCATATTCTCTGCCATGCCGATAGACGTCTACTATGACGAACGATCTTGAATCCGCATTACCTACAGGACGGACGGCCAACTCCTCAACCATCTGCGGGTGCTCTTTCAGTCGCGTGAATCCACGACGACCGTCCATGAACTTCTCTTCGCTGACGACTGCGTCCTTAACGCCACCTCGGAAGGGGGCATGTAAAGGATCATGGATCTTCTCTCTGCCACCTGCGACAACTTCGGACTGGCCATAAACACTGAGAAAACGGAAGTTATGAACCAACCGCCGTCCGACACTGCCTACATCGCACTCCAAATCAACGTGAATGGCGCCCAACCGCAAGTCGGGGACAACTTCACCTACCTGGGTAGCACCCTATCCCGCATCACCAAGATCGATGATGAAGTGGCTCGCCGGACCTCCCAAGCCAGCTATGCCTTCGGCCGTCTGCAAAGCACAGTCTGGGATCGTCACAGAAAAGAAGATGTGCAAGGAGGTCATCCTGCCGACGCTGCTAATATGGGGCGGATACCTTACGGTGTAGAAGAAGCAGGACACTCAATCACACTCACCTCAGCTGTCTTCAACGGATAAGGAAGTTGAGATGACAGGGCTGAATTCCGGACACGGATGTATTAGAGCGGACGGGGACCCTCAGCATCTACGCCATGCTAAAACAACTGTAGCTGCGTTGGAGCGACCACATCGTGCGGATGAACGATGAGCGACTACCGAAACGACTCTTCTACGGCGATGTCGCCACAGGTTCCCGCCGACAAGGAGGCCAATTCCATCGCCTTAAGGACACTCTGAAGACTTCACTGAAACGTCTGCAGATCAACTCGGTCAACTGGAAAGACATCGTCTGAGACCGACCGACTTGGAGGAGAGCAGATAAGACAGGCGCAGCGATCTACGAAGCCAACCGCATCACGGCCGCCAAAGCCAAACGCGAGGCTCGCAAGTCTCACTCGCTCCCACCTGGCAACGCTAAGGCTCAACTGTCCCCGACCTGCCCACGATGTCAGTCGACGTTTTGAGCACAAATCGGGCTTGTTGGACATCTCCGAACCAAATACATCCCCAAACGGCACCAACCGATATCTCTCCGTTCACCTCTGTCTGACCCTACACGCAAACGGCACTGACCGCACTCCTGAACCCCAGCTCCCATCCTCCTCCATCTCCTTAACACCTGCTGCAACGGCTCCTGTACCTGTCACCACTGCACACAATCCTAACACGTCGACAAACATCATTCCCACCGCCTTCAGCACCAGCGATGTGTACTCGGTCCATACCTGTCCTCCTTGCGAATGTGCCTTCATCTTACACATCGACCTGGTTGGTCACTTGCGAAGCCATTGCTCAGAGACTAGCGAACGAGTGCCTGGAGCATTCACATACACCAGACGCATTTGACTTAACTGCTTGCACTGTCCGCGCACATTCACTCGCTGAATGGGTCTTATAGGTCACATGCGCATTCACGCAAACCTGCGGTAGACAACCGCCGGCTACGCCACACCACCATCTCTTCCCACGCCAAACAACACCATCACCCTTAACAAGTATCCAACTGTCAACTCCCACGCACGTGGAAAGTGCGCGCCTCGACTCCATCTTCGTGCTGCTCCTTTGCTGCATCTGTGATTCGTGTCTGAGACTATCATAGTGCGACGAGCACTGTGGCCGACTGACGCCCCAATTCAGTCCACGCGGTCTGACGAGTTGTGCGTTTTGTGTGGAGTGGCGGACCGATGGACCAGGATGTCGTGGCTCCTTTCTGAGTGTTCTGTCACACTCTCGCATATGTGTGTGTGTGCATTGCGGGTAGTGCCTCTCAGTTGTAGACTGTTTGGTTACCCAGCCTTGAAGTGCGATGACTCAGACGCATGCAGACCCTTCTGGGCCTAAAGTTCTGAAAGCCCCTGCTCTCCCAGGAACAGCAGACCATGGCGCTCGCAGCCCTCTGAACCCTAGTTCTCTATCGGCATACGTGCATGCGCTTTCACTGGGTATACAAGTCGTGAGCACGGCTGCCCAGTCGCCCTTGTCTTTGCAGATGACTTTTTTGATGTTAGTATTATTATTGGTTTTGATGATGATGTTATTGGTTGAAATTCTTGTCATTTACTGGGGGTGTGACGGTACGCCTAGAGGCGGGCTCAGCCGTGCCACCCACCTGAGCCCTCCGTCGCCTCCGATTTTCTAGACTCAGTCTTGACACCGGGTCCAGGTGTCGAGTAGGAAGAGGGAGCGAAGTTGATGCTATGCAAGTCTACTATCACTATAAACTAACTCACACACAAGTTTTCGTGCCTGCTCTCGCCTTTTCGTGGAGCGGACGGTGGGTAGCGTCGGTAATGACAGTTGAACTTCGAGCTCCCGACTTCTTTGGTGTGAGGATCGTAGACCGTATTGACCGATGCGAAGAACTTCTTCATTTAACTCCGGCCCTTATACCCGTGTATAGCTTCAGCCTTGCCACCCAGCCAAGCGTTTTACACAGAAGTTGATAAACGGGACGCCGACATCTGGAGTAGGCTGTCTTGTTTGCATCGGCCCCGCAGCTGACGTAGGTTTTGTGCAGCCCATTCTTTCGGTCGAACAGGTTGAAGAGTTCTTCATCGTCTTCTTTGAACCCGTCCTGTTGTGGCGGAGCGCGCAAATAAGCATTAGTGGAGGCGGATTGTGTTGCTTTCCGCAGTAAACATGACTGCCTCTACGCTTGCGTTGTCGTCCAAAATCTAGAATTCCCACAGACTCTGGGCCAATTTGTTGCTGAAATCGAAGCGGTAAGCAGACGTATGCAGCATAATGGTACTTGAATTACATGGTCTTCCCCTACCTTATGGTTTCCTGCTGGATTGCTATCGGAACCTCATCTTGCAGATGACGAGGTAGCGATTCGTCCGGCCGTCGGCATCGCAGATAGTTTTTGTCATCAGCACGACTCGATGGTCTGGCCTCTTGATGAGAACATAGTTTAGCGAGTGCTAGCGCCGCGAACGTAGTGCATCCATGTTGTCTCCTTCCGCGTCGGAAGGCGAAAGATGAGACGGTATTATGCTCAGATTCGCGGAAGGAGGAGGACTTTTTCGTTGCAGCCACCGATTCCGTGGAGACACAGAACTCCCTTCGATGTAGCATGGTTTGCTTCGACGGGGCATTGGGTTTACCAGGAACAGTCATCTTGCCCGTCCGGAAAAAGAAGATGCGATCGTTGGGGCAAAAAGTTTATTGGTCTGGCATTTCGGATTCTCACTCAGACCCATTATCAGAAACAGTCTCGGGATAGTTTAAAAGGGGGGCAGTCCTGTAACAATTGGAGTCGTTGGCCTCCTGACACCACAGACCGAAATTCTGGACTCAGTATGTGGATGATATCTTCGTCGTCATCGAAGGGGATCAGTTGTTAGAATCCAGCGAAAATCTCAACGCGTTTTCCCAAACATAAAATTTACTGTTGAAAAGGGTAAATAACCAGCTAGTCTTTCTTGACGTCCTCATCTTCCGCAAATCCTGAGGTCATCTAAAAGCTCACGTGTCCAGATAGGCTGTTATATACGATGCAAGTACTGAGCTTCAACAACAACCACACAATCAGTCGCACACGCAACTGTTACTTCGCACAACTTCCTCAGCCGCTGCATGCGTGAACGTAACGAGGGGCAAACTTCAACCGGCCCCAAATTTTGGCTAGCGTTCTCGTATGTGAAGAACGTCTCGGAGGCCGCCAGTCGCCTCCTCACACCACTCGGATCTGGAGTTGCGCACAGACCGGAAGCAGCCATCATGCGCCAGATGGTAAGGCCGAAAGACCCACTATCATGGCAAGAAATGCATGGAGTCGTTTGCCGGATCTGGTGCAGTTGCGGATAAAGTAACTGCGTCGGATAAACTTTGAGACTACTCCGAACGCATATGTCCCAGCGTGCATCAGCAGTGAAGAGGAATGACGCCTACACCCAGACGCGGGTCATTCGATGGGATCCGGCCACACCTTCAAGTTTGGTGAGGCCGAAATCCTCTCATGAGGTGACAATCGTGTGACCGGAGAGCTGCTTGGATCATGGTTCTCCGGCCCGCATTGAATTAACAAGCTCAAAGACCTTCCGTCTCCTTATTTTGTGCTGTGATTTGGACCAGGCAATATTCCTGGCCACGCGGGGAAGGTGCGGGTGACCAGCAGTCACGGTGACTGTGGACGAGTCATCGGCACGCCAAGAATTGACAACGGTTGGGAAATCACTGGCCACTAACTACCCGGGCACGGACCGATAGGCGGCTATCGCACCAACTGCGACCCCCCAGCGACGAACATAAGTACTACCAAATATAGTAGGCGTGTGGTTGCCTGGTAACTACGGAATGTAAATACTACGAACCTTGTGCCCCCTATTACCCTATTCCGCGGCTGTCTCTGATGATGGGTTCGAGTAAGAATCCAAAACATCGGGCCAATAAACTTCTTGTTAATGCGCTTGCACCTTCTTCTTTTGAACTGCTCCCGGCAATTCGCCAGTTCGTTCTTGTCCACTTTCGACACGATCGCCAGAATGACATGCAAGTCTTCCTAGTACTTACTCCCGAGGTAATCATTAGGGGGCTCGGACGCAAAAGACGGTGACTCCCCGAAGAGGGAGGAGCAGATTCATGATATGGTCATCATGCTGTGCGACAGACAGAGTGATCGTCTCACGATGTCGTTTGTAACGACAAAGGTGACGTCTACAGCACTTCGCTCTGCCTTTGAGCTGGCGCTCCAGAAGGTGTAGTTGACACCCATCTCCTCTAGATGACCCTGTTTGGGGAATCAGGTCACACTAAGCAGGGTGCTGTCCACCTTGTGGTGCACCGGTCCTTGAGCAATTAGCACCGTCCTCCCTTCCGGCCGGTGGTTCTGTGGACCGTTTAAAAGAGAACGAGCATTTGAGATTGCCAAAATGGACAGAATCATTAGAAACCTGTGGTGTGCGACGGAGTAGACAGGGACGGGGTTGTTATTGGTTTATTTGTCCGCCCTTAAGTGCTACCTGTGCAAGTCACTGTCAGCTTGCAAATGTCGTGATTTCCCAGCATTTGTTTAGGGCGCCTTTTCTAATCATATTTCTCGTGAGTGCGGAAGTAGTGTTATCCTCGAATTGGACTGCTCAGACATCCCAAAAGGCTACCAAGTTCCACTGTGGTTCACGGTTTTGTTTAGTGGAGAACGACCCGAGTTAACCTGGGCCGACTATGGAATTGCAGGTCGTCCTCCCCGTAGGACTGCTCGGGTGAAAGGGCGGGAAGGGAAGTGAGATTGTTGCATGCTGGGACACTCGACAACTTAGTCCTCACCCGGTCTAGCCAACCGGTCGAGGCAGTTACTGGGGTGTTGTCGCTAGGCCGAACCTGGTTTTGAGAAGTCACCGGTGACAGTGGGGTGTCCTTTAAAGGCCGTGTGGTGCAACCACTACCTAGATAAGTTAAATGAACACTCCCACATTCTGCTGAATGACATACATACATACTTATTCGTCAGTCGTTCGAGCCCGCTATGTCAGCGACTAACATCAACCAAAGACCGTTACCCTGTTCACACCCGAGTTGTTAGCTTCCTCGGCTAAAGCATGAAGATGTATTCAAGGCCACGCTTAGCATTTGATGTGGCCTTTAAGGCATTTACGTCTATGTGATATCCATGGCCCTCTTTGAATACTGGCTCATGTAGATTTATGAACCACAGAATGGATGTTAAGTACGAACTGCCTTCGAAGCCATCTTCAGTCCTCTCGACTCTCTTATCTTCAGAACAACGTGGGTTTTTGAAGGGTTTTCGGTGGACAGATCAAAAACCTGCTTCGGTATGGTCAAATTCATGCGCAAATCACCACACTGACGTCCGGAGTAGTGTTGTTTCTTGTTGTTTGAAATGACCAAACTATTCGTTACGTATTTCAGGTTAGAATGTCCCTACAGCTCTTTGATGTCCCGTTGTTCTCCCCTCGATTATTTGCCCGGGTGTGTATTCAAGTGGTTGACTGTTATTATGCTTTAAAGAGGATGCGATCACTGGAAGGAGAGGTCTATTTGCCTGATGTTTCAAATTCCTTGTGCCTTCATCGCCCTTATCTGCGATTGCCTCTGATGATAGGATCGATCGGGATTTCAAAACGCCCGCCGAACAAACTTTTTGTCCCAGCGATCGCATCTTCTACTAAATTGCCTTCTGGACGCCGTCTCATTGATTTTTTTCGGCTATGAGATTGTTTGCAGATTGTCTCCCTCCCCATCGCCTACTGATAGACCAGCATAATCATTTATTGTATTTAATTTGCTCTGTACTCGCCGCGAGTGTGTCAGATTGGCCAGGAATGTCTTTTGGTCGGTCCATAAATGAGCGCCATTGGATTCCCAAGCTATGTACGCGAAAGTTTTTTTGGCCTTGTCCCAGCCATCTGCTCGGTTAATCCACATGTGCAATAACCTACGACTGCACAATGGTATAGGAGATCAGCCATGAAACAAAAGGGCATTGCTGAAAGAATACCGAGAGATGTCTCAAAAGTGGTAACGAGCAGAAAGGTTCCCAGACTTCCGGGAAGTTTTTGTTTAATTTTTCGTCTTCGTAAATCCGGATAACGGGGTCAACTGCGTATTCGGTCCGAAATATTATAACACCACTTGAAGCAATTAATCGCGCTCTACTGTGTTTGTTTGTTATAGGATGAGCCAGAGAGGCCCCCAGGACGGGCGCAAACTCAGTAAATTATTTACAGTCAGCTGTTATGATTATTGGAAGACGATGGATCGCTAGTGTTCTAAATTCTCATCCGCTACTTGTCCGCATGGTCTCGACAAGAGGGATCGCTGATGTAATAGCCAGTTAGATCGACAGTTTGACAGTCGATTTCGACGTCGTCCACCTTGTGCACCATAGCAGACTGAGGACAGAAACGGTGACTTGCGTGTAATTTAGTCTAAAGTGATAGAAGACTTACGTTGCATCTACCACACTCTCTCTTCCTCCTCCACATGGGCCCGGTGCCAGGAAAGAGTGAAAAAGACCGGAGCGGGGGGGGCGCAGGTGGTTAGCACGGCGTAAACCCGCACCTAGACTTACCACCACCCCCTGGTTCACAGCAAACACTTGACTGGGATTCTAACTATCAACCAAAATGGGTGGGGGGCAACAAGGATCCCACTTGGCGTATCGCGAGCCCGCACCTAGGCGCACGATTACACCTCGAATGTTGGCATTCGTTATGGGTGTGCGTTCTCGACAACGCCTGCCGGACCTAAATCTAGCCCCCCTGTTGGCCCAACGCATACACCGCATGGCCCGGCTAAGGGGTACGGACGACTATGTTCACAGACTGCCACACATTCGCCCACGCGGTGACCCTGTAGCCGATTCCTTTACCGAGCGGACTTGCGAACGCCTTGCACTTTTGAATATTTTGGGCCACAACGCATCGAGGTGGTCGTTGTGAATTATAAAGTCTTCGTTGACGCACTTTTGCTAGTCAAATTGTTGCCTTTAGTCACATATAAGTGATGCCTAACGGGCTTATTGGCAGGAAAGAACACACCCATTCCGCTTTGTCCTGGACCTAGCTGACGAAAGAAAATATTCCAGAGATGGTCGTTATAGTCTGCTTCGTCTTTGTCGATATCTTATTCGCAGCACTAATTACTTGTGGCTGTGCCACCACCTAGGAGAACTCTTGACTAGGACATATTCCTTCGTACAATTGACAGGATGTAGGCCTGTGGCTGAAGTGGTTGAGTGTTATACTCAAATTATGAACGATTAGTTTGGTTGTCTAGGCTGGGACTGTGGCTGGATGACGATAACAAACTAGTCAGAAACGGCCATTTTGTTCCTCTCGGTCTTTGTTGGCATTCACTTTGCGCTGATGTTTAACCTGACGGTAAATGCCCAAGGTAGTGCAGACGTTGCCGTACAAAAATGAGCACCGAAGGACTTCGGAACTCGAATTCACAAAAAGGCAAAAATGCGCCGAATATTCTCTTTTTTTAAAATGGCACACCAGATAGTGCAACAATGATCTCAACGCTGCACACGTGCCCTGTCTCGTAACCCCACATGCGCTCTAGCAGCATGCTTTTAGAGGTCAGATTACAACTGATTATTCCCGATGCACTTGGCTGGACTGCGCACTGCGCCAAACTGTCAAAAGACATGCACATTCAGACTTCTCCCCGATTCCTGTGTCGTTTGTTGATTGGGCAGTGGTACAAAGGCGCTTCTACTCGCCAACCCACATGAGTAAAAGACCTTAGACAGAGTTGCAGCTCAGTAGCAGTGGCATAAGCATGGAGGTGTGGCGATCAGTTCTTGACAGATTAGAGGAATACCGGGTAGGACCTTCGAATAGATTTTGGCAAGTATGAAATAGATTCGAAAAGGATTAATCTCCGTACTTTGGCTTGTGGCAAAACTTCTGCTTCTCAATGTCTTTGTAAATGATGGAATGCGCTCAATTGGGTACCTTATGTCTACAAAAGATCCAATAAGCAGCGCGCATAATTTCGCTATCCTGGTTTATACAGTGCTCTGCTTCGGAGGCTCTTTGTTGGTGCTTTTTCCAAAATTCACACTGTTTGGATCGTTCCTCCTAATGCTCAATCTGACTGCCCAGGTATGTGCGTTTTTATGCGATCGTTCCGATGTATGCATGTGGCTAATACTATCTACCTCGTCTGATGCCAGCACTTTGACGAAGGGTGTTGATTTCACTTACATAGTGAATTAATAAGTGGAGTTTAGTCGTCCTTCTAACTACCTAAAATGGATGAACTTGCTATCACATTTAATACAGTGGGTGAAGCCAACTGAACTGGAGAATTCAAAGCCATCGAAACCTTGCCTTCTACTGGGTCGTATCAACATCGTATCGGGAACCTGAACTGATTCTGATGACCCGTTTAATTTGAAGTACAATCCTTTGTGATTGTCACACCCGGTGGAACTCATGAAATGACAACAAAGTCTTCAGATAAAACTTCATTTGGGAACGGGGGAAGGTGGTAAGATTGGGACGCCCTCAGGTAGTACAGGTGGCCTTGTGCTAAATTCCACGGGGGGTTACCATTACTGTGTCCTACCTCTAACCCAATAACCGACCTAAACCCAAGGCCTAACCCTAATCCCAAAACTTAACCCTAAATCTAATCGCCCTGGAAATTAGCTCAAGGCCACCTGTGACGATGGGGTGGGGGGGAAGCTTCCAACTGCCGTGGCCTATAGAGGAGGGTGCAGAACTGCTCGACATGAAACAGAATCTCCGGTTACGATGGCATGCCGTCTTCCAGTTGGTAACTTTTACAGTCACATGAGAAGAAACCACCACCTAAACTACTTGGATCTTTCTTGCCAATTGCCGATATTTCTTGCAAATTCCATTAAATTTATAGACGGTCAACTCAAAATCTCATCGTGAATGCTAGAACTAGGGAAAATTAAATCTTCATTTTCGTTTTTAAACTGACGAACGTAAAACAGTGGTTGTAAGATATTTTTAATAATGAAAAGTCCTCAGCCCGTCCCACAGGTTAATCTACTTGTAAATTGTACAGCTTGTTTAGCAATTATTACGACCTAATGAGTGCCTTTAACATGGCGGGATCTTTGGACTGTCTTAAAGTTGTGAAAATTCCCACTGAGCAATTCAGGAGACATGTATACAGTTAGCCTCTCGCACGCTCCGCGTCCACCCTGGGCAAGGATCGATTAACTGTATGCATGTCTCCGCGCCCCGTCCCCTCTCCCTCCTCCCCCTTTTCGCACGGCTCTGCCTAACCCTCACTGTCACCTTCTTCCGCCCCTCTCTTCCCTCCCCTCTATTCACACACCCTGTTTGTATGAAAAGACGAACCTTAATCGATTGCTCCTATCGCCCACGGGTTTTACTTCGTACTTCGTCCCCATCTAAGTGTACTGGCCCGATGATAATTTATCGAAAGCACGCGTTTGCTCGCCAAATGCTCTTCTGTATTACGACCTGGTTACGGCAGGGATCATGCCCCTCCTTTTTTAGAATTCGGGTTAGAGCCCTCTAATTGGAGCAGCGGGTTATGCACGTCTGGGGTTCGGATGTGGCTGGTTAAAAGTGACAAAGAAACCAGAAGCGGGCATTCCGTTCTCCGTAGTCTTTGTCGGCAGTTAGATCGAGCAACAGGAGACCCCTTCAAGGAGACGTGAATAGATATCGGAATTTCATTCATAGAAGGTATGCCATGCAGCATGAGAAGTTTGGGAAGAAGTAATTGTTCAGTTTGTTTTTCGAAATATCAATGGAAGATCGCTTTTAAAATATACTTGGTTATTTCATTCAAGTCGGAGTGTTTATGACGATCTGATTCCCCACCAAATGAATACAAACATCGAATTTTTGTACGTTCCCGGGGAATTATATTTTGGCTTATTCAGTTGAACGACAGAATCCATCTAGGAGTGATTTTTCCGAATGTGCTCCCCGCACACGACTGGAAGAATCCTCTGTCAGATGCCAAAATGCCGACGTGGATGAAATCATTTGAAAGACCAGTTCAGACTTTGCAGCGTTGCAACCACACCGGACCAAACCTCTCTATCCGAAAATATAGGTTGTATGTGTGCTACATATAAAGGAAAGAGCGTGGTCGTTCATACGCCAGAAAAGATGCCCTTTGCAGGTGGATTTCGTTTTTATCACACACACTTCGTCGACAAGAAAATGTACCGATGACAAAGTGCAGTTATTTTCAGCGTACTATTTACATATTAATGCTTGACTGTTTTGAGACGTGGACACCCAGACCCTCTCCCCCAAACCCCAGCTACAGACTTACTTCTGCTTGCCCGCATTTTCCTTTAAACCATTTCGATAGCAATATAAATGTATAGGCCTGATGAGAATTTATCGAAGGCTTACGTCTGCTCGCCAAATTATCTTTTCGAATGAATTGGATTATTAACGCATTTTGGGCGTTGCGGTCGTCTGCCGGGTATTTACGAGGTAAACGTGACGAAAATGCAAAACACTGAATGGGAAAGTTATATGCGCAGTATTAATAGTATTACTGCTTGTAAAATACAGGCAGCTTCAGTTATTTCTGATGTACCCATCCCTGCTTCATACGGCCCTTTCCGTAAAAACGGTCGAAGCGAAAAGCTATTTCATCGATTGACATGTTGTTATTTCCATTGCAGCATGTGCCCATGCATTTCTTGCTTATCCGGCATTTTGCATCCCTTCATTCATTTAGCACAACCCAAGGAAGGTAAAACGAGCAGCCAATTACCCATATATTACATAGTACTTCTAATGGAGTTTGTTGAAACCTAAAATTATGCTAAGAAACGCCTTTCCTTGAAGGAGGTTTAGAGCCCAAACGTTGCAAATACTATCTTCAGTTTATTGGCAGGATCAAATGTTGGTCTTGTCAGCCAAGCATGCACCTCCTTGAAAGTACGATGGAACGTCGGCGGAAGTTCAGAAGGACTACTTGGAAGGCGGTGGAAAAGTAGTCTCCATGGGTTCTTCACCTCGTACTGACTTTGTTTGCACCGGCATGTTGAGGGCGCATTTTTAGATTTCAGTAGGGCCTTTTCAGGGATGTGATATAGATAATTACTTAAGCATGGTACCTTGTTTCCCTTAACAATCATAGGAAGAAGAAGATTTTGCGCTTGCCGGACGGCATAATCTTACGAAACTGGAGTGGAAATCACCCGTTTGGCATGACTGAAATGTGGAATACGAGCGATTCCGCTTTTCCTTATAGACGGTCGCGTAACGAAGAGCGGGCAGTAATTGCGAAATGTAGTGAAGAGAAATTCCTGGCGGATCAGAACGATTATTTTTATCAAGTTTGTCATCGTCCTTTGGACGTACCGCTGCCCGCGACGACCAGAGCGTGAGCCTGCGACTCAAGTGGGGTTGCGTTGAGCTCAATGCGTAACTTGACCTAATCGTGGGGCATGTTCTGCCGACGACCACAACTAAGTTCCGGTACCACTACTTATCGGTGATCACATTGATTAACAAATATGCCGTCTCATAAACAAACGTTTTTCAAGCCTGCCAGTAAGCGCGCGTACAGAGTTGCGAGGTGTCAAATCTGTAAACGCGGAAACAGTACTGATCGGGGAGGTTAGCAAGAAGAGTGGACCGGCGAGAAGGCAAAGCAGCGATATGACAGACTGGTTGCGCTAACAGAGCCATTCTGATTTTAGGTAACGCTGACCGTTGTGCAACCCAGGCACCCCACATCCTGCCATTTAGGAGCCACTACACTGTGTGCAACCTTTGTACTTCTTTAAACAACTTGTAGCTAACAGGACAACAAGAGTCCGAACGCCAGTCATTGGGGATTAGAAAGGGCCACGACTCATTTTCTGAAGTAACTAACTTCATCAGACAGGCCCTACGTCCAGGTGGTATACAAAAGATGGATGTGCTGTGACCAGCGTCGTTGGGACCGAAATTTTACAGATTAAATTAGTTTGGTGCGGACGCCCCATGCGTGCCGCAACTAGGTCCTGGGTGAAATTTCGAATTTTTTACGGTCGTATTCATCAACAGTCAAGCAGCAGTGTTTGTCTGGACTCGCCGACCGATCGATGCTGCTCATTCATCACAAGTAAGTGGTTTTGTGGTGAGCACCACTTAACTATACATGACTACATTAACGGTAAAGGCCTTCCACGGGCGAGCTCTGTTCATAACTAATTTTACTTCAGTCTGACTGGCGAAAGAGCCACTGGTCACCTAAATCTCATGCCAGCTTTCGAAGGTCATAATTTCCCCTGTCTAACACCACGGCAACCTACGCAAGCTTCTTGCACGGAATCCCTCGGTAGCGTGCTAACTGATTTTGGGAACAGCAAACCTAGGGGATGTCTTCCGGAGCCAGCATATTAAAAGTCGTTGAGGAGAGAAGGATACTCTTATGGTTTCGGAACGTACAATTTGTCATACGTCCTATCTGACTTTAACTAACCTTCATAACGTGAATCAACTTATATGGCATAATAAGAAAAAATCCGCCCTAGTTGACTGCAAATAAAGATGCTGTTCGTGAAGAGGTTAAAGATAATTCATTGATTTGACTTGAATAGCTAACCGTGTTATTTAATGCTTTCTGCAACACACATATCCACGCCTCCAGTACATTTACCACCTACTGACTGAGGCCTCATGGAATCCAGGCTACGAAGCCGTCAGTATTCTCGGTTGCATTTTGATGATCGCAAGCGCAGAGATTCAGAGACTCTTCGAAAGCAGTGAGAAGAGGGCTGGACCCATTCTTTGCGAGGGACTGGGCTGCGGCCTACCAGGTCTGTACTCCAAACAGGGCATGCTTGCTTTGGCGCAAGTTCTTGCGAGGGTGGGCTTCTGCGTCATCAGCCTTGGCCACGCCTACGTGAGCTACGTGCGAACGGGTGGTTTGTTAATGGTGAGTTTTGTTGGTTTTTAAAAAATATTTTCTTGGTTGGCACACCATCTGTTTTTGACACTGTCAAATCAATCAGCATTTGAATCCTGCCGCCACTACAGTTATGCGGTCCTCATAATTGATATTTCTTTCCCTTGAAGATTACCCAAGCTGCATGTCACACATGGGCCTTTGCAAAAACTCATTAAGTCTGTGCAGCGTTAATTCAAAATGTTCAGATTTTATTTGGTTGCTTTTTTGCAAATTACGAGAAGAAACCTTGCAATATGAATGCAATGTAACGCTGTAGCACCAGAAGAACTTATTTAATTTCTAACAGATGCCTCCACGATTTTTAAAATTTTTGATTTCTCACAGATAGAGGGTTTCCTATAGCCTTAGCTTATACTCTAACACAGTGCTCGAAACAGAGCGAAAGTATGTATTATCCATGAACATAAGGGCAAAGCATATGGATCTTGGACATAGCCGATTATATCGTTGCGGAGAGACAATTTTTTCCAGTGTATCCGAGATGCTGAGCGCTAGTGGTCAGTTATGGGGGGACATTGTGGCCCGCTTTTACAGTCCTTTATGTCGTCCTGAATTCAGTAATTTCTATTGGACATGCCTTAACGATTGACTGCCGTAGGACGAGTACCTGGCTGACGTGGAACACGAGTTTGACTGTAATTGTTTCGAGTTTAAACTTTCCAGTAGACGTTTAACGCATTTTCATTAGTGACATGAGAGCGCGTGTTCCCCGATATCTCCTGTTTGCAGAACGGAGTACGAGTAATAAATAACAATAATAAATTGTTTTATTTGCATCACAGCAAGTAAAAGTAAATTTTAATATGAATTTTAGAACAGATAGGCAGAATCTGTAATCCTGTTTTGTTTGCAAAGACCCTAAAGTAGAATTCAAAGGCCAAAGGAAAGCCCCATATTTCCTCCTATCGTCAGGGTAGTTTGGTGAATGTCACGTCAGTGGGAATTTGAATGTCCTCGAGTCCTGAAGACAGGAGGTGACCCCCGGCTTAAATGTCGGGTCATTAAACTCAGAAACAAATAAAACCAACAGAAGTTCCAGGTCTTCTCGAGCAAGAAGACGGAAACCTTTACTGTCGGTGACTCTTTCCAGTTTTTGTTATCGTAGAGGGTGTCTAATTTTAATGCAACGTTGTTCAATTGAGGACCGAAATGGGTATACAACCCTCTCCTCCCTCCCCACCTCCCCAGTACTCTGGCGCGGACTCACCCCTAATACGGGAATGGCGGTAAAAGGGGTCTAAGGAGTGTGGCCTCTCAAGGGAGTGGACACTGCTGTTGAAATTACGTAGCAAGCCAGGGCATAATATTTACGTCGTTTGCTTGTTCCAATGTATTAAGCTACTTTAAATTCAATCGCGCGCAGTACAATTAGCAGCCGAGAGGAGATCGTGCAATCTCACAAAGGGAAATACTACACGTCTAGTTCCGGGAAAAGACCAGGTATCTGATCTAGAAACAGAAAGGTCGATGGGCTTTCGGTAAGTATACCACGGTCCCACCTGTAAAAACCCTTTTAACATCATTCATCATTTACCATCTTACGCCAAGGAGCTGGGGGTACATATTCATGTCCTACTGTTATTGAGGAATTGATAACGTCTTTCTGGCTACTTACTTCAATTCCTAAGCTCAATTGTTTGTTGCCTGTGTACCAAGGGTTGTTATGCCCACCTTCTGGTGCTTTCTGGCAAAGTTAGTTTTCCTATTTGACCCAGTAACAATTCGATCTGAGACATTTAAAATATGAATAAGTTTAAATATTTAGTTTTGGTGCCCTTTTTAAGTGCTGAACTCATGAAGCAAAATACTGCACGGTATTTCAAATAGAGAAAACTACAGGTACCTTTTCACTCCTGTACTATTTTGGGTGTATCATTAAGTCGGTTAGAAGCCTCCTCGGTTAATAGAAAGCAGTGCCTATTTGAAAAATGTTTATGTCAAGCTTCGAGCTGAATGGTTCCTGACTCCCTGCCCAAATATTTGTCATCGAGCATTCGCGTGACGTCATCAGAGTTTCGACCGCAGTTCACCCAGAGAAATACCGATTAGGTCGTCTCACCAGCGGTTACTTACGACGTTTTTGGCCCCTCCGCTGTTGTTTCCAATCTGCCGTTGTTCGAGTTCATTCACATCGGCTAAGCGAATGTTACCGCCGTGGAAGACAGTCACGGGCGTGACAGCTACGGCGACCACCCTGGTTTTAACACGAGCTCTACTCCCGGTGACCTAGGTTAACGACCTGGCTACTAGACCGGCGTTCGCCGTTAGCGTTAAGCGCACGCATGCCTACGTGCACCAGTCGGCAGGTGATCTTTGGGCTTATGTACTTTATTTATGGGTCAGAGACCTGTGAAACAAACTATATATACATATATTCCCCGAATTGCTGAACGTACATCTCAAGGTCTCGGTCTGCGTGTCAGTGTCACACTCCTGCTGTACTTCTTTACAAAGGTAGCTGAACTGATCGGACGAGAACCGGTGCTTTCTACGTGGTATGGTCGCTGGTATGTGGCCTTTATGGCAATCCCATCACAGTGTGGGATCCGAGCCAGGCGTTGGCGGCACGCCCAGGTGCGGCTTCGGCCGTGCCAGCCTCCAAATCTCTCTTGTGTTGATTGAAATCCTGGTTATTTGTTGTGTGGACCAGGGGGTGTGGTGGAACGCCAAGGTGAGGATCCGTCCGAGCCATCCACCTGGGGCCTCTCTCGTCTCCGGTCTTCTTGACTCTGTCTTGACACCTGGCTTGGGCGAGGGAGGAGGAGAGAGTGTAGGTAGATGCTACGCAAGTCTACCGGCACTATAAACCCCTTCGTAAGTCACCGTCCCTGCTCCCATTGCTGCTGCAACTGTGGGGCACACGGTGGACATCATCGAAACCGATGGTCGAACTGTCAGCTGAACTGATCGGGATCCATTGCTCCCTGCTGTGCTCATTCCATGCATTTTTGATCATTTACACGTCAGCAAGAAAAACGTAGATTTGCATTCACGTTAACCTCAGTTGTCGAAATCGGACGCATCTTTCACACACAATGCTGAGCAAACTATCGTCACGTCAAAAAACGAAGGCTGTTGTGCAGTCTTGAGTGTTAATTAGTTTACTACTCTCATTTATGCCGCCCTGTCACTTCTCCGAATTAGCTTATGACAGCTGGAGGGAGGGGAGGGGGGGGGGAGGGAATTTTCGCGTTTTTTAAACTGCGATGTAACCACCCCCGTGAGCTGCATGAAGTAATGCTGGAGGATTCTTTTTCGCTGTTTCACCCTCCTCTTCTTTGCTCCGATTTCAGGCCTTTTTCAATACAATCGTCATCATACCGCTTCTCATTGGTTTCTACACTCGCCTCGCTGCCATCCTTATGGCTGCGGTATTGTGGATAGGTTTTTACGTCAATTGTTTCAGCCTGCTGAGCATGGAGAAACTGTTCGCCGAGGACTACGTGTGGTTCAAATTTGCTCAAACAACCAGCATAACTGGCGGCCTTCTGATACTAATTCTCCAAGGTCCGGGTTCCTATAGTGTGGATGCAGCTCGTCATAAAGATGATTAATCGCATTACACAAATCCTGCCCTCTTTTACTGTTTAATTTTTGTGATGGTTTGGGATACAGCAAAAACCTGCTGGTTGAGTAATTACAATAATAATTGTTAAAAGTGCAAATTTTGTTATGCCTTATTTATGCCGCAAAAAAGCTGCAAGTCCATCATTCCCCCCTTCGGGTGAGGCTCAAATAGAAAAGGACGAATTTGAGTAAAATAGGAAACTTCACAGCTTTCTCTTCACTCAGTGTTTGTCTACTTGTAACCGTCTTCTAGAGAGATACGATAATGCGGGTGAATGCATTTATTCACACGAACCTGTTTACTCAAAATCAGCCGTGTCTGTGTGGGGGAGGGAGCTACGCAGCTGAGCAGGGGGGCATTTACGTTCCTGGCTTTTTTTGTAACAAAAGATCTCAGATCAGTGTACACCTTCTACTGCTGGAGGTGGGACTTAGTAACAATGGACGGTGGAAAAGAGCTGAGATTCGTTTGCCTGCCATCCCTTCGGTAAGACAGATTAACTCAGGTTGGCCAGGGTATGCTGATTGTTTTCCGTACCTCCATGTGGGCACAGCAATTATCGCTTTTTAAGTTCCTTCCTTCTCTGCCGTGTTACTAGGCCGCAGTTCTCCTTTCACGGTGGTCTGCGATGGCCTTCATGGGAAATATTTTCTTTACGGAGAATTTTCCTGACATCTCATACCCGTACCGAAATTCTGCCTGTTGGCTGAACAACGCTATTCAGCACTGAATTGCCTACGGAAGGATACTAATATTGCTATTCTAAGGAGTGACAAAGAAAACAGGATTATGCTCCTGAGCAAGAGAGTCTACTTAAGGAAGATGCAATATGTATTAAATGACTCCAGCAAGACTTTTCACGAAGCCACTGCTAAGGTAGAAATAAAACGGTGAGGGTTTTTATCAGAAAAAAGGTAGCAGCTGTTCTGAAAAAACGAATTGATAAACGAGAGGACGGCCACTTAGACAAAACACGTACGTCCTTATGTCCATAGATTATATGGATTTACCGGAAATCTATAAAACTGTTCCGTCTCTGCAGCCTATTCTGCTTATAGTAAAGTTTGGGGGGACATATTTAAGCGACGGTTGATTAGGGAAATCGAACAGATTCCTCTTTAGCTTGCCACACAAGCGGTGAAAGACACTTTTGATTTCATTAATGGATCTAAAAATGTTAAGAAGACAAATAAGCACGGTGCGCAGGACCACCGAGCGAATTCATTTGAGCACGCATTTAGTTGGCCTGTTTGGAAGTCAGACGAGGTGCTGCAGTTCTGTGCCAAGAATGTGAAATCCCACTTAAAAGAACAACTATACGGAAAAGTTGATGGTGTAACTATCCGGAGTCCAGTAGATCCAGTCGTGATGAATATTTTTATGTTGAGCATCGACATAAAGCTATTAGAAGAACGAAGGATACGAAATTTTATAGGTCGGCGGATAGTACACCCGCTGTGTAGTATAGCAGTGAACTGTTACTTCAATGATTAACTGACACCCGAGATTGAAGCAAAACAGTGGGCTAACGTTGCCTGCTGCACAGCAAGGGGGTAGGTTCATTTAGATGTCAGTGTACTGGAAGCCTGGATAGAAAAGGTAGGTTCTAAATTTTCTAAGTTTTGATCCTATCCAGAGGAAGAGGAACCTAGTCGTGTACCTGTTTATCTAAAACACAATAAGGTCGATAAAGGGACTAAGTTCCAGAGAAGCAGCACACGGGGCAGCGGTCACCCGCAGAAATTTATCGAAGAATGTAGCTATTCAAAAGAATTTCAGTTGCCGATACAAGCGAAGATGCGAGTTCCAGGAACTAGGTGAAAGAAGTAGAAATGATCTCCGGAACAAGTTTTATTCGAAGAAGGCATCACCTCTGGTTCGATTAGATGGAACCGCCTTAGACCAAACGAACGGACGTATACTGTTGCCACCGAGCTTCAAAACACCCACGTCAGTCAGACCGGCTAAAGACACAAATGGCCGAGCACGAAGCAGCAGTGAGGAGGAAAGTCGCTAGCTCTCAGGCAACGACAAATTCCACGAGACTCGACCATATTTTAAAGTTTTAAGAGGTTGACATCCTCGCAAGGAGTGACAACCATGTAAGCCGCGAGCTGCTCGAGTCATGGTTTCCACGTTCGCAGTTAATCAACAAGCGCACTGACCTCCCGTTGCCATATTCTGAGCAGAGAAATCACTCACGTGAGGAGGGTGTGGGAGAGCAACAATTCCAGTGCCAGCGAGTCAAAATACCGAGTTGGTATCACACCGACATCCAAAGCGGATGATGAAATAGCGGCCATCAACAACTCGGATGCGGAATATCACGTCATCGTCGCATCAGTTACGGCCCCCAGCGATGATCGCGAGAGCTACCAATTATAGTACACACGCGGTCTCACGTCAGCCAGGTACTATGAATACTGCACCCCTTGTGCTTCCACTAACCTTATCTGCGACTGTCTCTGATGATGACTTCGAATGAGAATCCAAAGCTCCAGGACAAATAATCTTGTTCCAGTGATCGCATTTTCTCCTTCTTCTCCTGAATTGCTTCCTGGAACCTGGCTTCTCGCTGCTATCGACTAAAGACATTTCGCTTATGCATGTTAACTCAGGCTGTATCTAGTTGCGGATTCAAATTCGTTGGACGCATGCAGAGAGTGCCGGCGACGCGGTCGGCCAAACGTGAGGGAATCAAGGTGCCAATAAGTCCAGTCACAAGGCACATTTTAAGAATTGGACACACTAGGGATTCGGGGTTCTACTGCGCAAGGACAGTCCGTAACATACATTGCTCTGAGATTACGGCAGTTAAAGGAGAACCAGGCCTGGATCAC